GCAGGGTGTCCAGTCCTGGTCCTGGGGGGTCAGTGTGTCCGCAGGGTGTCTAGTCTAATGACTAGTGACTTAGTCTAGCCCATTATTGGCTTAATTTGACCAGTTTAAAGAGGAACTGCAGAACTCAGACTGGTTATCAAATCTCAGTAACAAAATTAATTGTTAGTATTGCAAACTTTGACAAATTCTGAATTAAGCACAAAATCATGTATAGTCTCTATGTTGTCACAAACTGTTGGCCTCACCAGGGACGAGAATAAGAGTTTGTGAGAAATGCAAAGTGAAGTGGCCCTTCCTGCTCACTAGTCACTGTAATGACTAATATCACGCAATTTACTAGCAAATAAGTACAGGTTGTGCAGCAGACGTTTCACTGCAGAAATGTTCCAACATGATCTTCATGCAGAGTTATCAAGTAGGTCATATTCATCTCCAAAACCATCTCGAAGTCAAGAGCAATATTTCTTTTGGATTGTAAGAGATGTATTCAGGAGCCTGCTTGTTTACAGTCTAATAATAATGTGTTTCTTTATTAGCCCTATACAATTTCTTGCATTAGGAATTCGTCTTTTCACATACCCCAGCTTTTCTCCATGGAGACACAGACACAGAGACAGGGAGAGAAGCTTGGGGTCAGAGCGCAGGGTCTGCCATTGTACGGCGCCCCTGGAGCAGTTAGGGTTAAGGGCCTTGCTCAGGGGCCCAACAGAGTAGGATTCCTCTGCCAGCCGCGGGATTTGAACCGGCAACCTTCCAGTCACAGGTGCAGATCCTTAGCCACAGAGCCACCGCTCCGCCCTAATAGGGGTACAACAAGTCACTGGTGTTTTGTTGCTTAGTTCTGAATCACGGACAATAACAGCTATATAGTGCCACGCATACCAGGAAATTATGTGAATTGGAGGTTTTACAAGTTAATGTGTACATTTTACTTTCCTTGTGGTTTAAAATGGTCATCAATGCCAATTCATCATGTGCTTATCAATGACAGTTCTTTCCAATTCTGAAAAATATATAAAAATAGCATTTCGGTTCCATTTTAAAATCTTCAGGTGCTGCAGCTTTAGAGAAACTTAGAAAACGCACGAACACCCCAGGACCAGGTTAGAAAATGTGCCGACACTCCAGGACCAAGTTTGATGAAGTTTTTTATAGCTAAACCCTGCTTAACAAGATTTTTATTGATTTTGTTAATAGTTTTGAACTTGGTGTCCTTGTTTCAGTACTGATCCTAGTTTTGCCTCGTCCACCACAGCTCAGTGTGGTTCTGTGTGTGTTTCCTACACTACAGTGAACAGTCTGCCTTTGCTTCTTGTCTCGTTGTGTTTCCTGAGGAGGCTGGCACCCTTATCCTGACACTTTACTGAATTCCTTGGCAGGTGTGAGCAGGAGTGAGCAGCTCCTGATGCTCCTATTCCCACAAGCAGCTGGACCAGACTCCTTCCGCTTCCCCTCTCAGGCCTGGCGTCCTGCTGGCTCAGGCTGGGAACACAAAGCCACGCCGGCGGCCCTTCACCGCCCCTGCTGGGCAGCTTGTTAGAGGCCCAGTCCACGGTGCCACCTAGTGTCCCTGCGCCGGTCACCGCAAGCGAGCCGCCAGACCCCCCGGCGTGACTGCCCCCCTCCCAGGGGAGCACATGGCCTCCGACAGTGCGGCTGGGCGCCGAGCACTCTGGGTCCACGTCCTGGGCGGTTTGCGGCATGACAGTGAGCTCCCCAGCTTGGGCACATCACACTGCCAACACGTTTACACACTGCAATCACAGCAGCGCCATTTGCATTGTATTTCCCATTCCAGCTGCTCCCCAGGTCAGAACTGAAGTGATGCACTTTTGTACACATTTAATATCAATACGAAATATTTATTGAATAAGTTAAATGACCCTAACCATAACCTGGTGATTTAGATGGGTAGAGTTTTAGCACCTGCACTAAATAGGAGGACTTTCGAATAAATGTTTCCATGTGGGATTTTTTTAAAGCACTCCGCGTCCGATTTCGGCAGCTCTGAAATACGTCCAAAGTGACTGAATTAAAATGCAGAGCTGGGCTGGCAGTTTGATCCTGCGTTTCCAGCAGAGGGAAGTGAAAACCTCTCCAGTCCGCTCACAGCTGTGTAGCGATTCGGGAAACGCTGCCTCACTTGAACACTGACATGCTCTTCTTTCCCTTTTTTCATTACCCCTTATTACAAAGCAGGGCTGCTGATTACAAAAAAGGCAGTCTGACTTCTGCAATAGGTCTTTTTCACTAACTCTTCCTGTCATGTAAATTCAAGCTGTTACAATGAATAAGAGTCCCAATCCATATTTGCCAGTCCTAATATGAGATCTGTCAGGGCCCAAATTAATGAGTTCCAAATTCCTTACATCAAGATAACTACTTAAGACTGGTCAATTAATTATATAAATCCTTCTCAATTATTTTGCGCTGTTCAGCTTGGATTGTATCTTACATTACAAGAAGCCCGGTTGACGTTTGTTGTTTTATAGAAAGCTTGTCTTAAAGGTAGGCTCTGTGCAGCCTTGAAGACTACAGCAATTATTGGAGATATGCAATCACTGCAGTTGTGCTCATTTGCTATGACCAGCAGATTCTGTGATGGGTTTAGGTTTGTCAAAGCTGTAAAATCAATGTTGGAAATATTCTTTATTTACAACATGCAAAGTAAAGATTGCTTAACCTGTATTCCCATTTGAATAATTTTGAACTGCATGCGTGGTAATGTGTTTGAATAATGTAATAAATTCCTTTGACACTTACGAGTGATCTTTTTCTTGCAGCTCGTTTTATTTTTTTACCATTATTTTGTATATTTCCGTAAAGGCACTTGCGCACTTTTCCAGATTGAAACGAACTTTATTGTTGAATAAGAAATGAAAATGCTATTAAATTAACCCAATCATTTATTTATATGAAAATCTAAATGTAAACTGTATTTTGAAATTCTATTTTATTTGTAAATAAAATATCTGAAATGTATTTTAACAGATTGCTAACGGATTATATGATTTCCAACTTGAGGATTAAAATGGTAGGATATTAAATAGATATTATAATAAATCGGTGGATATTATTGATAATTATTAAATACATTCGAAATGGTGAAAAATTAGGTTAAAATATTTTTGATTTTTTTAAGCATTTTCTAAAAATGCCTTAAAATTTGCAATAGTTTCATAATTATATAAGTTAACCGTGCACGTGTTATTGCACGACAAAGCAAACCATTTTAAATCAATGTGCTTCAGTTTAGCTTCCCGCTTAAAAATTATTAGGATAACACATGATAACATCGTTACCATGGAGAGTAAATATATATAGTATCTAAAACCCAGTATTCTAATTTACTTTTCTACTGTATCGAGCGATCTTCTTTTATTTTGTAGCAAGAAAAATCCATCCCAGAGACTTAGACGGGTAATGTTGTGTCACTCTTGGGTCTGTGATGTACATCCACGCAGGACGTGCTGCTCAGAGCCGGGCTCTGGCGAGCACTAACCGGCCCCAGCACGCCTAGCTCTGCGGGGCACACGCACACAAGGCCCGGCGGTGCTCCCGCCTCACCCACGCTCGCACCTGCTGTTCCCGCTGTTTGCAAAGGTCGAGGCCGCATGTGCGAGTCGCTGCAGAAGTCCGAGAAAACTTGCATTTGTTAAACACAAACTGCGGCCAGGCGTGACCATGCGTGTCCTGGAATTCGTGTCCACTATCTCTGCCCCCAACACGGCAGAGCCGTGCTTTCCGATGACCGATGTCACTCACACGGTGGCGCCCAGGCCGGGGCACTCGCCTCAAACCCACCCAGGCCCCCTGCGCTTTCCCGGGCTCCCCTGCGGCTGGGTTGGCGGCGCGGAGGGGGGGAGGTGCGGGCGAGTCAAGACTCTTCCTGGATGCCTGCCTCTGGTTGCTAGGGGTTACGGCGTTGCTATGGGATACAGCTGGTACCTGGCAAGCAGGAGCATCGCCGCGGCACGAGAGAGAGACCGCGCTGCTGCCAAACAACAATAAACCCCGCACGCGAGCTCGCGCCTCGGACACGGACACGGAGGACGTGGACCCCAGCAGCCGGGAGGGAGGCGGAGTGAGTAGAACCCCAAGCCCTTGTCCGTGTCCGAGCTTGGGCGGCTGGCCAGCCCAGTGCGCACGGAGAGCACAGGCACAGGGTACCGGGACACCGACTCCAGCTTCCCCGGCAGCGGTTTAAGCTCCGATCTCACTCGCAGAGCAGAGGCGGGCATCTTGTCATGAAAGGCCCCGGGCCGATGCGCCTAAGCAGGTGGCGCTTGAGCATGCAAAGGTGTTTGCGGTTTTCAAAGCAATCATCCTTACCGCGCAACGGGTCCGATTCCTGCGCTGGCAGGGGACTGGGGGCTGAACAGCCGCCGCGAACCCGCGATCTGCTCGTCTGGCAGCAACACAGCAACGCGCGTTCCGGCGAGAGACGTGTCGCCACGTCAGACTTACTGGACTGGAATAACATCGTGGGGTCCCTGTGGTTCTCGAGCGCCGGCTTGGGGCCGTGGGATAGTGAAGTTCTCAAGCGAGAGCCGCAGTCCAGCGTGCGTCTCCTGCTCCGCGTCCACGGCTATAAAATAACCCTGCCGGGCACAGCAGTCCACAGACGCGTCGGAGACGTTGGCTACGGCTGCATATTGCCTTAACAATATTTGCGAAATATATTGTATTAAAATAGCAATATTTTTCTAAAACTTCTAACAACAACAGATATTTGCGGGGAAGTTAATTGTGTCGCCATGTTGAGACAGAGGAGAAACAAACACTAATATATTTTCTAAAACTTTATTGAAAATAGTCAAACGTGATTATCAACGCAAGTGAATCAATTTATAAAAGATCGAAAGAGCTCACTCGCTGGTCTGGTGCGGGAGAAGACAGCTATTCAGGCATCATAAAACAAACTTCAAACAACTCTTCAAAAAAAAAAACTTAAACGTCGTTTCAGTATTCAGCTACTTACAATACATTAGCAGACTGATTTACTTTTGCTTCACATTTCAGTGTTTTAAAAATAAAAACAGGAGCGAATAAATTACGTCATTGAGCGCGCTCGCAGTTGTGATAAAAACGGATTTAGTCCTGTGTAGATATTGCACTTTTCTTAACGCCGTCATGACTAATCCTGGAATACAGTAGTAACTATTAGCTCTAGCTCAGAGTACCGTGTATTATACAGTACACACGCCGACAAGCGGGCAGACTTGACACCACCGTGTCGAAAAACTACATTTCCTTCACTAGCGACCGCCTCTCTGCGTCGTTTACTCCGCAATAGTCTGGTCAATCGCCGGCGTCTTAGGTGTGGAGAAAAAAAGCGCGGTCAACGCCGAACAGTACCTGGACGTGCGATGATAACGCCTCTCTGTAAGCGGACTAACACTTCGGGGACACATCACATTCGTGTATAACTAGCAGCACCCGGGCCATAACGCCTCTTCGAAGTTTTGAACGGTGTGTCGAGGGAACAGAATCGCCGTGGCAGTGGGCGATCGTGCCCTTCCTCTCCGAGTCCAGCGGCCCGCCGCGCCCAGGCCGAAGCGCAGCGGATCTCGCAGACGAGTCTGTAACCTTACACACAGACACGCATGAGCACTTTTAACAAACTGAAGACGTGTCACTATTATAGGGTCAAATAATTCCGAAAGGCTTTTCTCTGGAGCTACTAATAACATTAAATAAAAACGCCCCAAGCTTCCACACGCACACAAGTTGAAGTCTGGCTCCTTTACTGGTAGAATCTTCTTTCTTTTGTAGGAAAAATGACTAACGTTTTATTTTTGTGTGTGTGTGTGGGGGTGAGAACATGTTAAAGCCTGTCGTTTTAAATGTTTCAGTTTGAAATTTCTCCCCTCGCACCATCAGTGTGTAACGTTACATTCTGGCACAGGAAAGTCGATGAAATTGCACAAGCCTCGCTGTGCAACACGCCACGCATCTCTCCATTAAGGCCACGTTATTTTCCGGAAAGGAAAGAAAAAAAGCTTCGATAAATTAATGCACTGTAATGAAAAACGATCTATACATATATAAAAAAAATCGCCGGCGGTCTCCGACTGCACTGTTCTGAACAAGACAGAATCCCTCCACAGAGCGGCCGAGCCGAACTCTCGCGGGTACCCGATCCGCACCAGCTACACGCGTGAATGCGTATACACACGAGCTGGGGCAGAGGTCTCCGGAACCTATCTTTTTCATCCACTAGCGTCCTTGTTATTCTTGAAGAAGAAGCGCCGCATCACCACTTGTCCTGCCTGTCCCGCAGCATCAGGAGCAGTGAGTGAGACGGACTGGGCCGGGCGCTACGGCAGCACCTTCTGCGCTTCGGACGGGGACTCCGAGAGGGAGCTGAACAGCTCCGCCTGCCCGGGCTTCCTGCACTCTCGGGGCGCGCTGTCGTCGCTGCAGTGTCCCAGGCCCGAGGAGGAGCTGCAGGCCAGAAAATAAAAAGGAGGGGGGATTGGTTTGCCACAGCACGCTGGAAGCCTGAGTAACGGAGGAGAACTTTAATTATCTCCAGTCACACAGAGGGACAGGAAATTTGGACTTTTAATTAGCCGTTCAGAGTGCAGCCTGATATTTTTTAGCTAGATAATTTAAAAGGAAATAATTCAAGTCTGACTAAATGAAATTCACATAATCGGAATGCAGATAATTGAATTTCCCCCACATTCATTAATTCAGTGCAGAGGTGTAGGCTTCTATGATGAGCTGTCTCAGCTCAATAAAATTTCAGTCAATTAATTTTTTCATTATCTTAATATTAAATCAACAGAAAATAATACAGGCCAGATAATGCAGAACACAAAATACCTCTCGCAGTCAGAATCAGAGTAGGGTTTGCATTTGTCCTTGTACTCCTCCTCTTCCAAGGGGAATCTCCTGTTTAAGCAGCTGTACTTCTGAATAGCTTCTGCCACAGTGTATGTGCTTTGCCCAGAGGCACAAGCCTCAATCTTCTCAGTGCTCAGCTGGGACTGAAGGAAGAGGTGTAGCCTGCTGTCTGACAACAGCACTGCATTCTGCAAGACTCTAACAAGAAGAAACACACCATGAACACACCTTTCAATAAGGACTCAAACCCAATTATTCACAGACACTGCAGAAATATTATTTAAACTACGACTAATCCGTAGGCTTTTAAGTGGTACGGGAGGGTATCCTTAATATTTTAATACAAAAGCTTAAAAATGATTTTGTTAAAAAGGTACAGAGAAAAAAAACAATGTTTTTATAATATATTAGAAGTCTAATTAATATTGCCTTTGCTTCTCCCCCCTCCCCAGAACAATAACATTTTTGTAGAACTAAAATAATTTGGAGTCTTTCAAAGAAGTGTGCGAGGAGTTTGTAAGATGTCTTTGTTTTGATACAGCAGGTGTGGAACCCCACAGGGATGACGTGCTCTTCTTAGAAGCCTGGAATCCCTTCAGAATCCAACACCAACATCTATCTTATTCCTGTTTAACATCCTCTCCATCTTGAAGATGTGAAACTGCCGGAATGTCCTGCAGCGATCTCCACATTGATTTCTGGGATGTCAAAGCCTTGTGCAGGAGCCCGCAGAGTCTTTTTCGTTTTGTGCTAGATGTTACAGGTGTGACGAAACATTTCAGTCACTGTTGCTCGGCCGAAAAAAGGAGGACTGTTTAATTTAACAATTTTAACCAACATTTATTTTACTAAATAATATAGCAAGATGCATTAAAAGAGAGTTTTTAATTTAAATGTTAAAAGGGCGTTATTGAAAGACATATTTAAAATTTTCTATCTGCTCAGAAATGTCAATCAATTTTTTTATTGCTCTTTTCAAACTTACAACTCCTTTTTGCATTTGACCAACTTTAATTTTCGAAGGGATGCAGTTTTACATATTCACAGATTTGTCATAACTGGTCACACATAACTTGGACCCGTGTATAATTCAATTTAAATCTGTACATTTGGTTGTTATTTTTGAATCCCAAAATGAATACCGCATTGAATCACAATTTAAATGTCATGGAGGGAGATACTAATTATTTGAAAAAGGCATGCAAGCTTGAAGTGCTCATCAAAATCTTCATATGAAAATATTCGTATATTTCCGTTGTGTTTTTATAAAGGTGCAGCACATTTGAATTACTAAAAATCAATATGCCTTGGATTGATAAAACAGGATGCAATTATCATGGCCCTTGTTTAAAAAACAAATATGCCTTCAGGTTTCACAGATGACCTACAGTAAAGCTGTTGGAAGACCACGTGTGTGTGAGTTAAATGAAATTCAGTGCAGTGCTCATGATGACACTGTTACCACCCTGTAGCCTGATCAGGCCAGATCTCAGAAGCCCAGCAAGGCTGGTCCTTCAGGACTGGGGTGGAGACCTCAAGAGAATCCTGCTGCTGTGAGGGGTGTTAGTGGACCTACAAGGTCTACGAAACTGTAAGATGCTAAGAGTCGCTTTCCTTCTGTACCAGACTTTCTAAACCAGTGTGAAGTCCTGGGCAACTCTGCTGGAGCTGCAGTCCTTTAGTTGAGACATTATTAAGTCAAAGTCCTTTGTATTTGGTCACTTGGGATAAAACTGCTGCTCCTCATGTCTGGACCCAAGCAAGAGGTTCCTTTTTAATTCAGTTGGTGAAGCATTTTCCAACACGTCCACCTGACCCGCGGGGTCACCCAGGTGAGGTGGGTGAAGTGGGTTCCCGCCGTGCACGTTTACTTATTCGTATTTGCCAACAGATTGCTCAATAACATTTGTTAAACGAATTTAAATAAATTGAAAACGAACACTATGTAACACTAAGTCATATCTGTCTCAATGACTTCCAGTGAAGAATGCTTCCGAAACCCCCACCGTCACTACACAAAATAACCATCATTCCTCGCTACATTTACAGTTAGGAAACATGAATTTGCTTTAATTTGTTGACTATAAAGGTAACTAAACTTTCAAATCCCATCTGCAGTAAGAGTCAGAACGGCACCTCTGAGAGAATAATCAGCCTCGATTCCCCCAGTGGAGTCCCATTGCATCCCTGTCCTGCCATCTCCCACCAGCCCAGTCAATGGCAACCAGTTACACAGCCTCGCGCGCACCGTCAGTTTATTATTGTTTTCTGAAATTAGATTTACTTTCTTCACAGAGTAATTTCATCTGCGAGGATATTCAGGATGGTTTCAGGCAGTCCCTCACGCATACAACAACCGCTAATGCAAACGATGGGAGACATTAATTTATTTCAACTTGATTTCACGTCCAAAGCAATTCTTGCAAAATCCAGACCATTGAAGCACTTTAATAAACTTCACTTCCTCCAACATGAGGGAAAAGCCAAGAGAGGAAATAAAACGTGTGTATATATATATAAACAAACTGTATGGCTGCAGAGATTTCCTCTGTACAAGATCACATTTTAGTGCTCCTGGGATCCCCGAGAATCAGCACCACCATTGAAACACTGGTGTCAGATACATTATCCTGCTGAATGTACAGAAGAAACCTCCTATATTTATTGTGTACGTGTATATAAATAGCAGTCTGTAGATTTGAAATGCTTTTATTCCTCTCTAGATCAACATGCTCAACTCCTGCCAATACAAAAGCAGAATGCTTAAATTATATCATCATTTTGTAACCACAAAAGTTCTGAGCTAGAAGCAGAAAGCAGTACTCCCACACACACACACACTGCATCACAGAGTGCATTCCTCTGACTACAATGTGCCGCTCAACAGTCTGTCATTTTATACATCATACATTTAACACAAAAACAAGAGAAAGGTTTAGAATGCGAGTGCAAACAGCTCACAAAATATCTGACGAGCTTGAAGAGTTTATTCAACCTTTGAGCCTCTTGCTCCCGGCTCTCTTCCTACACTGCCCTGTGGCCTGAGAGGCACAGCAGGTAACACACACTCTCAAGCACGAGGCAAAACATCCATATTCAACACCGAATACATGCAGTGAGCTGGTCCCCCATCAGGCCTCGTATCCCCACTCTAGTTCACCAGTGAAGCACAGCTAGTCGAGTGCTAGTAAATCACTAATACAGGCCCTACTGGGGCAGCATGCAGGGTGTGTACAAGCTCTTTATCAGTGGCTAAGAAGTGACTTGTGAAAAAAATGCAAAAGATTCTGAGCTTTAGGCTTTTTACTGGATAACGTACAACCCAACAAGTCAATGTTATCTAAAAAATTGGAAAGGCCAGTCTAGACGTTTGCATCTACCAATCCTTCAAAGACAATACAGTCAGGGCGCTTAAAAATGGACTATTCCCAGAAATAGCCACAAGGTGGCGCAAATGTCACAGTGAAACAGCAACTCAGATTAGGCCACTGTCAACGCTGGACCCACAGTAGTAAGCGAAGTAAAAGCACAATTACACATAAATACTCACTCTTCCAGGAACTGCTGCAGGCCTTTCATCCTTTCTGCGACATGCTGCTTGTTAGTCATGCTGAAGAACAGGTTTCTGGGTGGGAGTTCAGGTAACTTTCTAACAGGAGAGAAATTCACATGGTCAGGAGCACAGAAACACATGGCTCAACACAGCTAGCAGGCATATGAGCTCAACTGTTTTAGAGTTTAGGCTTGCTCCCTGGTATGCTGGGTGGAGAGGGATTTATGTGGAGACTGAATTCACTTCACCACCCAGAAGTGTTTTTAATAGTTAATCTCTTCAAGCGCGGCTATGAGCTACATTTTAAACGTGATGCACCCTTCCCATTCAAGCTAGCGTTCAAACTAGATAAATACATTGCTCAGTAACTTCAAAACACGCAAAATAAACAGCTGTTGTATAATATAAACTGTTATGCAAGCTTATACACTCTGAAAAATGCACATCACAGTAATTTAAAAAAATCTCAGTAAACTGGCTGGGACAGTGTCAGATGAGGTAGTACAGTATATGAAATTAAGGAGTCCAAAAAAAAAAACAGAGGATCCTTTCTTTTGTCATAATGTTCCAAAATCACATGCTGGATCATCCCAACAACGCAGATAAAACAAATCAGCAAACATCCCAGTATTTCCTTGCCGATGTCAGTTTGCACTAAAACACTCTTGCAGTGGGGCATGGCTGTGCAATACACAGAAATCACACTGCACGGTAAGCAGATCAGTGTAGATATCCAGCATCTAAGCTGTTAATATCCTGTGCACTCGGATACCTACATTAGTGACGCATTGTCTTGAAGTCGCTGCCTGAGCCACACAAACTCTCTGTGCCGCCTTCTCACACAGGAGGTCTTCCTTTGGAAACACATGCTGTTCGTCTGTGGGGTAATTAGCACAGAAGGCTTCCGTGAAAATGGGCAATAAAGCACAATGGAGCAGGAGGCCACAGGCTGCCCACATGGCTGAGGCCAGGCTTGTGAACACAGAAACACAGGCACTCCAGCGCCTGGAGGCCTGCGAGGGACAGGAGGCACGTGTGGCTCCTCACAGAACTGACATTAACCAGAATAAGCCAATTGCCAGAGACTACCCCTTCAGCCATACACTTGAGGGGGTTTACTTCTGAACACAGTAAAGGCTGCATTTCCCTCCTCACAGAAAGAAGGTGAAGAGTTTGTGCTGGAATTCTGCACCCTCTTTCTTCCCCAAAGCCCGATTAACCTAATTCCACAGGACAGCCTACACTCACATGTAAGCCGATCTCATAGTCCATATAGGAGTGCCAGAAGTCTTCCTTCTGGATTCTGGGGTCTCGCACCCAAATGCTGACGAATTCCTGCAGAAACACGGGAACGAGAGCTGGTCAGAGGGAGGTCCGGATGCGGCTGCTCTCAGTTTTCCCATGGGCATATGGAAAACAACAAGTGACTCATTCCTGCAGAGCCAGCAGCACGGACGGGAAGAATTTCCATCAGCATGGAGACTGCTCGTGACCGGCAACGGAAAATAATCACACTCAAGGAACGGCAAGTCTCCTCCCATCACTCAAGGCTCATGTTTCATTTACTCATGCAAGCACAAGGAACAAGTAACAGGCTGATTCCCTGCTGAAAAGAGAAGAAAGAAAATGCAACGTACCAGCTCACACCTGAAGAAGGCTCCACAGTCGAAATGTTGTTTCTGTTTTCCTTCTTTTTTCAGCAGGGAATAAACCTATTACTTGTTCCTGATGCAGCTACCCACCTGAACTAATGCAAGCAAAATGCTTCTTTGCTGACCTGAAATGATCTGCACAATAATGTCCATGGTGATGTAACACTGCATCAGTTTGACCCAATGAGCAAACTTCTTTTTTTAGGAAAGAGGCTAAAGCTGCAATTGTTGTTAAATACTGTTCACGTGATCTGGCGTTTAGCCTCGGTGCCGACCAGATGACGACATCTCCGATCAGCGTTTTCCTACTTGCTCTTAACTGCTCGGCCTGACTCAGTTCTGGAAGTTCCCATCTAGTGCAACTCTTTGCGACTGAGGCAATAAGAGAATTCCCTCAACAGGCTGGATGTGTTTCAGCTCTTCTGGCCACCCAGGCTGTGACGTCACCAGAGTCACCAGTCTTTCCACTACAGAAAGGGGACTGGGCTTCGTAACTCGCAACCGCCAAGCAGGACACACACCCACACCAACGCAGACACTCACAAAAAGACGAGTAGGTCAAGGGCATGAGAAGACAGCAGAATGACAGGACAACTCTGCTCAGCTGGCAGCAGTGGCAAGGGCGATATCATCTCAATACAACAGACATCCCGAGTACGAAATCACACTGAAGCATATTCATTTTCCTAAAGCAAAACATCCTCAACCAATCAACTCAAGAGCTCCACTTCAAGCAACTTCCTTCTGCTGCACAGAGACGACAAAGGGAACTTCCAGACACCTGAGCCTCAAGCATTCATCTTTTGATACTCTGTGAAATTCCTTTTGACTTAACATCCTGAAGCAGTTTTCACAAATTTCGGTGGTTTTTGTTCAGCCTTGTTTTCAGCTGAACACTGAAACTGAATCGTCAACACAAACAGACAAACCAGCCAACAACGAGCACTTACCTTTTTAACATGACTATCAAACACATCCATCATCCAGAAACTAGATCTGTAAAAGAAAAAGAGGTCATGTATTCAATGAGTAATTGCCCTATAATATAGAGCTCTGTAAAATTCCTCTTTTGGACAGTTAAAAAGTCCACAACACTTTACGAACAGTCCATCAGGAAAATGAATCTCGGAGGCTGTGTGAGAAGAGCGTCATTCATCCCTCACAGGAAGGCCATAGGCCTGGAAGACATTATTCCACAAGCCCAACGTGTGTGGGAACAGTGCAACCTGCTCGAAACACATCTGCTCCTACCTTATAGAAGGGATGTACTGGATAAAAACATTCATTTTCAGGCTGAATAAAGTTGCAAAAAGTCCACAGAATGTACAACCTCTGTCTCAATCTTTCATAGGTACAGATGGGACACCATCAGCTCTGCTCTTCTACATTCAACATACAATATATTTATACTTATCTACTTCTTTGCAATTACTATTGCAAATTGATGTTACGCCTTCAGGAAAACTGCAGTCATTCCTAGTCTGTGATTTTTTACATCTTTACTGTGATGCCAAAAGCATCAGCTTCTACCACGTGGCTGGGCAGCTTGTTCCACGCTCCCGAACACCTCTGGATAAGGAACTGCGCCTGTTCTCCGTTTCAAACGCACATCCAGAGTTTCTACTTGTGGTTCGTGTTTCTCTGATCAAGATCAAAAGGGACCGGTTAACATTTCTGTCAAGACAAACTCTAGCCAAATCCCAGATATTAAACCCAATGCTTATGGAGCAACCTGTGATACAACTGACATCCACACATTCATGATTATTAATTTAACTGGTGAAGCGGTTTCTCTCTCCTCCCCCTGATCTGCTGTGCAGTGGAGCTGCTGGGATCTACGGGGACGAAAACTCCCATCTGTGCAATGAATTAGCAGTTTAAGGATTTTAAGAAGACAACGGAATTCTATCCAGATATTTCAGAAAATTCTGTCTGGTAAAGAAACTGGGCCATTAATCACGAATGATACAGGAAACAGAAAAGGGTTCTGCTGAAGATCAAAAGGAATAGGCTTCCAAGAATCTCCAGAGGCCCCTAATTCTACAACACGCCGAGGGATGGACAAGGGGTGCCCAGTTTCTGCCCACCACGTGCTCCGGGCAGAACGCCGCAGTGGCAGAGGGCGAGCCAGTGCTCCGGGCGCCAGGACCAGTCACTCATCCCTGTGCCAGAGCCAGAGCCAGCAGGAGGATGAAACGGTTCCTGGAAACAGCCTGCATCAATTCCTCCTGCCAGCGCTCCCGGCAGCAGATCTCCCAGTGAGCACGAACTCCATGTGCCTGCCGTGCCGTCACCGCCGTACGAACAGACAAACCTACATTCACATGTGCTCGGCTGATAATGGGCCTTTTATAATTTATGCTTCCTTCTTCTAAAATGCCCTATGTGCTCTCCAAGGGCATAAGAGAAAGAACATGCTCTTGTTGCACATAAACATATAAACAGACTACAGTGAGACCAGTGCTTTCACAGATACAGTACTCCAAAACTGATCCTTCATGAAACACTACTGAAACGAAGCTGTGGGCCAGTAACCTGTTTTCACTGACCAAGCAGTCAGTGACAGACAAATGTACAGCTTCTAATGTGAAAAATTCACTGTCCCGATTGACATTAGGGGCAGCGATTGTGAAAAGCATTAACATAGTCTAACAAATTCATCAAGAGAGTTTTGTACTCATGCCTTCAGAACTAGTTTTGAAGAGCTTTAGTATGAATTGTTCATCATTCCGGATTGTTATGTGGCCAAACCAAGTGCCACTGAATGTCCTATACCTGAATGATTACAACACCTCTAATTGCCATGTTCACATTTCTAGAAGCAGAAGAATAAACACCAAGAACACTAAACTTCCACATTATTTCGATTATTCATCATTTGCAATGACAACCTGGAGCACCATGTACACAGCAGGGCCCTTGAAATGCATTTCAGAGCCTGAGAACAGCCCTGCGGAAACTGCGCCCGGAGCTCTGATCGCAGGACCGGCGCACAGCCGAGATCAGACGGGACAGGACCCCACACAGTCAAAACAAACCACCTGCTCATCACGAGGCAGACGGTCCCCGTGTCCCTCCATCACCTCCTCAGCACTGCCTCCATTCTCACCCCCACCCGGTCAGGCTGCTGGCGGAGAAACCAGTCCGACCCACAGTCTGAGCACGTCGTACACACGCTATACTGCCACGGCACCAGTTTACTGCCCAGCTGATCTTTCTGATACTTCAACAACCGGGATACGTTGACTACATTACTAGTGAAGGCTTAATATGCTCAACCTTGTTATTTAAAGTGCAAGAGCTTCCTCACACACAGAAAATGATTTCACCTCTCCAGCAAACACAACCTGACTACAGGAAGTAGATGAAATGATTTACTCAGCAGTAACAACGCAGCACAACAAGCCTCATGCTCTGTCAGGACTGTTCCCCTCTCTGCTGGGGAAACGATTTAACAGCTTGCATAACCGCGGTTTGATAACAACCTGCTGAACTATTTACAGTCTTTAACACCGTCAGCAATAAATACAGCAGCCCCAGGAGGAGCCAGCCACAGTGCAGGTCTCCAGCCCAGCAGCTCAGTGCACATCAGCAAGCTGACAAAGGAAGGTTAACGCAAAATAAGAATGAGAATCAGGCTACCGTTGCTAGCGGTGATCCGCTTGTGATTTCTTCAGCTATCGGCTCCGGGACGGGTTGTGCAGGAGAAGAGCGGGCGTATTAAAACTGTCTGACCTCCAAAGGCCAGATCACCTCACGTCTGCGTTTGCTCAGCTAGAAACACGCACACCTGGATCGCGAACAAGACCTCGCCGACAACTGACTTACAAATAAACTTATTGGGAAAATCGAAAGGCAGAGTCTGAAACCACCTGCGGCGAAGAGACGAATACCCCTCACACACGCACACACGATCTAAGCAATATAACAGAGCGATAAGAAAATGATCACTGCCGAGAGTGAGCCATCACCTGCTTGTGGAAAACGGCTCTGCTGGGCGAGAAGCACAAATCATGCAGGAGTCGCTAGTAAAAGCAAGCAAGTAAGGGAGCGAGAGACGACAAACCACCGCAAACAGCGGCCAGATCTTCTGAGTTTCAGGCTAAGAGGTTCAGAAAGTCAAGGAAGAGCTTCAAAGAGAAATCCTGACAAACATTCAAGTCATGAGTTCATCAGCTCTGCCTTGATTAAAATCAGATGTTTGTTAGCTACCCTTAATCTGTTCAAACATGATGCAGTGGATCACTTAATAATATTAAGACATATGGCATTCCACAGTTAGAATAGTCTAGGATTTTACGGTTAGACTGACATCAGAATGTTTTCCAGGCGTTTAATACTTTCTAAAGGAATCAAGCACGTAATCAGAGTTTAGCCCGACTAGATTTATATATGTGCAATATGCAGTCAACCGTGTTCTTCATGCGATTCTGGTTTATGTTTTATTTTCTTGAGCTCTTTTTGCTAATTACTTTATCGTTGTTGGGCGAAGCATTTCGGAGGGGGCTGGAATGGGGAAGCGGCGAGCTCCCGGCGCTGGGAGTCGCTATGCCGGTCTGCGTGAGTCTGTTTGGTTAGGGGGGCAGGAGGAGGAGAAGTGTTTTTTTTTTACAAGTCAACGATCGTGACTCCAGCCTTCGCTTTTACATGACATAAAGTCCTCCAGCCGACTAGACCGAAACGCCGTCTCCGAGACGCTACCCACGCAGTGTCTGAAGCGCTTTCTGCGGAGGCTCTGCTGGGGGGGGTTTCGTGCGCAGCGGCAGCGCTGGTGCGGATCCGCGTCAGAAACGTGGGGTCGCAGCTGCAGGAGGACAGAATGGCTGCCGGGTCCATCACACACCTCACTGCAGAGTTGGTCACTCATTGAAACAGTTAGTGCCCAGTTATACAGAAACCACCCCCCAGGGCTCCAGAGAGCTGGAGCGTTTATTCGACAGACCTCTGCTAAAGCTCGGCATGGAGGGGCAGGCTCCGGTTTAGGCTACACGAAGGTAACCGGATCATTTACAAGCGGTCGTGGAAACGGCGCTTTCAACAGACGACCACGGCTACGCCGGAAAGAGAGACGCAGTCCAGCCTCATCGCGCTTTATGGTAGTGTAACAGTGTTGCACTTACCGTAGACCGCTGTGTCTGTCACAGGCTGCCCAGCCGGCGGTCAGGACGCGCGTCGGACCAGGGCTCAGACTTGGCGCACTGCTCGCAGACCAGACTGAACGCCGAGCTGTAACACTGCCGGAGTGTCTGTTCGCGGAGACCACGGCTCTCGCAGTTCCTGGAGCTCTTGTGGGGAAAGTGCCTTTTACTCGCACACAAAGCCGTGACGTGTGAGATTGCGAGAGACAAGGAGGCTCTTACTACAAATTATTACACCCCTCCTCCGCTTGCATGATTTTGGGCGTGTTTGATCTCATTCATGAGCTTTCTGTGAATATTTTCTAGCCCAAATGTGGGCTATTTTTTTTGTAAAAAAAGTAGTACAATTTTAACGGTAAAGGTTTCACATGTCTACGTTTTAGCACATGGCATGATCATTTTTTTTTCAGATTGGTTTGTGTTGGGGAATTATTTTTTTTATTTTTTCCCCACTGCTGTTCTCACACATCGTTGATTTATTTCCGTTTTTATATTTGTGTACCTGTGTGGCGAGTCCGATCCAGGTGATCTGCTTTCCTTCGGTACCTCTCCTGTGAATTCAACAGCATGTCAGACTGGGCAGGGGAAGTGTAGTATCATGGAGGCTTGTTCTTGGGTCCCAGGTTCGATTCCTGTGCAGTTGTGTGTGGAGTCTGCATTCATCTGAGTTGTCTCCAGGTGCTCCAGTTTCCTGACAGCTCTGAACTGGTGCCTGTAAAGTGCTGCTGTGTGTGTGTCATCGAGTCAAGATGCAGGGGTGAGAGAACCTGCAGAGTAGCTCAGTCCACAGGCTGATTGTGAAACATGGTGTACGACGTGGCCAGAGCAGACACTGCAGGGCTGAGACAGGACTGGTGGAGTCAGTGGACAATGGGTGGCAACAGGTAAAAGATAATAATACAATTAACCTCAATAATAACACTTTTCTTCATGGGACACTCAAAGGGCTTTATTACAGCACACACAACAGAAATAAGATAAAAGTACTGCAAATTAACTCGGTGAAGCTACAGAACATAATAAATTAATCCAAACTCTAATTAAATAAAACTCAGTGAAAGCTGGGGCCCAGTAGCTTTGTAAACCAGTTAAGAAAATTATAGTTAAAATGAAAGCACTTTATAAACTGATGACAACAGCATGGAGCCATGTTAAGAAAATGGATACGAACTGTCAACACAGGCCGAAAGAACAAGAGACGGGGAAGGAAAAGGTTTCAGAAGGTTGAAATACGTATTTTTAACAGAGCAACAGCGAAAGAACATTAAAGGATCACGTGACGTGTCTCACAGTTTTGGAGGAGTGTGTTTTTAGATAATGAAAGTGAAACATCTGATGTGCTGAATGAATATTTCACCAGGGTGTTAACCAACTGACACGCAGCCTCGGGTTCAGTATTGAATAAGGGGCTGATAAGAAACAGCTGTGTTCCTGGTATGAGACGTGTTCAAGATAAACACATCTCCAGGGCCTGATGGCCTTCAGTCAACTGGAGATTTTATTCAGTGACCATTAACAAAGTCTTCTAACAGTTGCTCAAGACAGGAGAAACTGCGAATGTAGCATCCATCCATAAAGTGGGTGGCCAAATTGAACCATATAATCACCAACAAATAAGTCTTACTCCCGTTACCCATAAAAAAAGGTAACAATAATTAGAAGACAATTAGTGGCTCATCTGTAAAGCAGTAGCATCCTAGGCTAGAGTAAATAATGATACTGTACATCTTGCTTAACAAATGTGTTAGAGCTCTTAATAAAGCTTTTAATACATTTCCTCATGAAAGATTCATTCTCACATTGATGGCAGTTGGCATTTAAGATAACATATGTGTTTGGATTAAGAATTGTTTAATGGATAGAAAGCAGACAGCAGAGATAGGGGGTAATTAGGGTGATGTAATTAGTGGAGTGCCACAAGAATCTGTATTAAGGACTACTCCCTCCATCCAGTTTCTAACTGCTTCATCCAATTCAGGGCCACAGGGGAGTGGAAGTCATCCCGGCAGGCAACGGGCGCAATATGGAGTACAGTGCATCGCAGGACGCACGCGCACACACGCGCGCACACACCTGGATCGATAGGGACTACCACTCTCCCTTATATACATTAATAATCTAAATTGCTAGTGTACCATCAGAGAAACAACCGGCAGATCCTGGAGGATGATTTCACTACTGGAAACTGGTTTGCAGATAACACCCATATGACAGGTTAGCATACACCAACAAAACTGCAAAGGAAAATCAAATTGCTATGGGTATATTCAAGACTGGTAACACACCTGATGGATGATGTCAATGTGCACAAATCAAATCAAAGTTTATTTATCAAATGCACAACAATTCGGCGTGCAGCAGTACTTGCTGGCAATGAAATGTCTTTTTTCTGCGAGCTCACAAAAAAAAGTGTAAAAGGTTACAAATAGGGAGACAAAACACTGAGAGAACTGTATGACACTCTGCAAAACGTGACAAATTTACCTATAGAAAAGACTTGGGTGATTATGTTGACACCCTTTTTATTTTTCTAGGCAAAGTGAGGAAGCAAATGTATTTGCCAACAAGAGTAAACTAATCATAAAACATTTCTTTGTTTCTAGAAACTTGCTGTGCATATTCTACCCTCTGGAATCAGTCCAGAAATGACAGACAAGATGCATTCCTGGTGTATAAGGAATGTCTCACATTGACAGGCTGACGGATCTGAGCTTTTTAAGTGCTGAAAGGAGAAGATTACAACAAGACTCGACTCTACATAATCCTCAAAGCTTTGACAAAGTCAGCCCAACAGACTTCTTCAGGGCACACATGGAAACTACAGGGACGTACAGTTAGAACTGAGAGCAGGAGGCAGTTCTTTACATAAAGGGTGCTGGTAGCATGGAACAATCAACCCAGCCATGCTGTTGATGCTGATGTCTGGGTTTTCTTCCAGGAAACAGCTGTGAGATCCTTAGATTAATTAGCTACAAGCAACCAGGCAGGATATGTGTGCAAAACAGCCTCATCTCATTTGCAACCTTTACGATGTGTTTTAAATTTCTAAATAATAAAATAAACATACATCAATGTCATTATAAGTGTTTTATCATGTTTATAGTTCACAAGTCTGCTGTTTAAAGAGAAAACACCTAGAAGCAGATAACATTCATAACATAACAGATAACATAGTTTCCTGGCTCTGCCACAGTATCCCTCCAACAAAGTAGCAAGATATTGTCTTATTATGAGGTACAGATTAATGATCAGCATTCCAGCACTGATGTTTCCATGAGTCATCATGTACAATCACATCCACACATTGCAACATGGAGCAGAAGAATCACATCCAGGCATCAGCGTGGTCAGTGCTTGAGTCCCAGACGGGGTACTACTACTGTACCCTGAGGATGGTACTTCTCTCAGGTTGTTCCAGTGAAAGTTCCAGTGGTATAAATGCATACAAATGTAAGTTGCTTTGGAAAAAGAGTTAAAGAAAAAATAACATTTTTACTCTTTGAATTTATATGAAAGTTATGTCTTGCTTGTGTAAGAGAATTTATCTGCAGGAGGTCAAGTTGGACTTGATTACTAAGGCCCTGATTCAAATTACTGTAATTCATGTTCCCTAAGTGTGAAAGAGAAATCTGATCCTGCCTCTCTTGCGGGTCCACTTCTGTAGAAATATTGTTTGCCCAAGAGGTTATCATAGATCAGCTAAAAGAACTACATTGTAAGACACTGGTGACATTACCTGTGGGCCACCAGTGTGCAGAGCTATACCTTCCTTACTGTGTAGAATTGTAAAGAAGGCACGCACAACTAAGAATGTTTGGATTAAAAAAAACTTTTTTGACTATAATGCTTACGGCACTGCAATAACTCTAGGTGCAACATGAATGCAGTCTTTATTAAAATATATAATAAACTATTTTGAGGTCTCTTTAAATTCTGCATTCTTAAATGTTTTGAAGTATGTTTGCACAGATAATCTTTTCAGGTCCTATAATATTCCAAGCATTCTGTGAGCTGTTTTCTTTTGAATAAAGTAACTGCAAGGCCATTTCCACACAATGGAGTGGATTCAGATCTCAGCTACCAGAGTGCTAGAGTATACAGTGGGTTTAATCAAGACAAAGATCTTATCTTTACTTGGGCATCAAACAGAAGTATCTCAGAAACCTGCTGAGCAAGAACAAACAGAATTGCAGAAGTGTTTTTGTAGCACTTGACAGTTCTACAATTCCTGACCCTTTTAGTCAAGGTTTAGAAAGAGGCACTGAAACAGCTCTTGTTAAGATAGTTAATGATTTGCTAGTGTCACTTAATATCCTTCTCTTCTTTTGAGATGGTCAATCACAGCATCATGAATCACTAAGAAAATGACAGTGTTCACTGCGTGGTCTGTCCACTGGTTACTTTAAGGACAGAGTGCCCGAGCTCTGCTGATGCTCTTCTCCCTCTGAAGACCCGACTCCACAAAGTTGAAATCTCAAAACCCTCATTTTTAAATCTCTGAAGACTTTTCTTCTGACTTTAGCTTTGTAATTTCAGTTTAATTTAGTTTTACTCTTGGTTTGTTCTTTTCTTTATTCTCTTTCTAGTACTTCCTTAATGTGTATTACATTTCTGCCACTGAACTGCTTGTGCTTTCAGTTTCATTACAAGTATTCTTTTTCATCATCTTACTATTAATAATGTTATTACTGCAACAAGAACCAAACATCAGGTCTGCACCACGTGACCACTTCTACTCTGTTCTCTTTTGAATTTGGAGGAATATATCTGCTCTATTTGTTAGATGAGAAGAGTTTTAAGTTTAGAATGAAGTGTTATCAGCTGAGAGTCAGTGAGTGTCTTCTGTCATCTGCAGTGTTTACAGCTATAACAAAGCTTTCGGCACAGAGGCTGATTCTCAGTACTGCGACAAGAAGTGATGTGCATATACTGTACAGCCTGCTAGTGTCACAACAGCTGCTTCTCAGAAAAGTCTTACCATGAAATGTCTTTTATGTTTGTACTCTAAGGCTTATTTTTTTCACCATTGCCCTCCTACATTTCCAGCCAGTGTGAGTACATGCCTCTCTCCTCGATTATGTAAACGCATGCTAAGGGTTTTTAGCACATACGTTTTCAAATGAACTTTGACACCTCTGAGACTTCCCTGGTAAAGATCAAGTGAGAATAAGTGAGCTGTTGTTCTTCAGCACTGGGCACAGATCAAGTCGATTTCTTTGGTCTTTGTTTTAGTGGAGGCATTCAGATTATTTCTAGAAATGAGGCCTTTTTGTGCTGTGTGATTGCCAGCAGTGGTGTAGAAGACTCTACCACACCTCTCAGCAGTGGTGAGTCAACAGGGCTCTTCAGTAAGAACAGGTCTTGAGCCACTAGCGCACAGGGGGAAATGAATTGACAAGCTTCGTGAGATAATGTAGATGACAAATACAATGTAGATCAGTGTAGTGAAACAGACCACAGTCGATGCAGTATTCAATGCAGGGACGTGCTCAGATATCGACTGGAAGGATCCTGCCAGATACAGTTTATTAAACACTGCAATTCTAGAGGGAGTGCTCTGGGGGGTCTTTGAAATTTAGCCGCATATTGATGATCTTGTTATCTGTAATGAAACAATGGAAGGGAGGAACTTTATCTTCCAAGGACTGAAACACTACATTCTTGTCTGATGCGGTTTTAATGTCTGCAGGGGTCACTCAGCATGTGACCGGCAGTCGTGTCTGTAGGCCTGAACCGATCAGGAGACACAGCCGACTCAATACAACTTTAACACCCCCAGGAGGAGGCCGTTGGGTGAGATAAGTGAGACTGGCGGTGGAGGGGGATCAGGAAGGCCGCCGCCTCTCCTACACTAGACTCCCACTTTCCAGTGCTGCGTCTGTCCGCTCTCTTCTGTAGCCACTCAGACATGACCTTACAAAAACAAATGTTTGAAAAAAGAGACAGCACATTAAATGGCAAAAGATCTGAATTTCAGTATCGAGTAAACAGAAAGCTGATGACATTTGGGAGAAACAGTAAAAGGAGTCAGCATTAGAAACCCCGCGATGGGCTGGCGTCATGTCCAGGGGGTCCCCACCCTGCCCCCACTGCTTGCCGGGACAGACTCCCCCTCCCCATGACCCTGAATAGGATGAAGCAGTTGGAAAATGGGTGGGTGGACATTTCTTCCTCACAGATCTTTAGACTGAATAAACTCGGGCTCTGACAACCAAAAACATGTTTGGGATCAACTTTTCCAATATAAAGGCCACAGAAAAGCCAGGAGGAATCACAATTTTTCTTTGCTGTACAAATACTGTACAAATATTTTTGTAAGAAAATGTATATATGTATGTAATTTATATTTGTAAGAACTTTTACAAATATAACCATTGGCCCATCTGGCCCATTGTGTAGTTAGCTGTCAATTGATCCAAGGATCTCATATAGCTTTACTGAAAAGAATCCAGGGTATCAGCTTCAACAACATGGCTGGGCAGCTTGTTCCACACTCCCACAGCCCTTTGTGTAAAGAAGTGCCTCTTGTTCTCAGTTTTCAATGTACATCCATGTAGTTTCCACTGGTGCCCTGTGGTTGGTGTTTCACTGTTCAACACAGCGTTGATTGTGTCAGTGCCTTTGAGGATATTTATTACTGTACTGGATCAAAAGCTATTGGTCTCCCCTTCTGGGGATCAAGCCCTGGTCTCCCCTGTCCACCTGTGCACTGAGCGCTGCCCACAGGGCCAGCCAGCCTTCCTGCATCTCACCATTAAAACATTGGTGAAGTATTGCAACAGCCCCGATATTCTCCTCTAAACTCGGCATCACTGGCCCAGCAGGAAAAGGTGATTGTGCATGTGCTGCTAGTTTAAGCAATAACGCTGGCTTGGAAAAGTCACACAATCAAATGTGCTCTGGTACACAGTAGTGATTAATTCTCTGAGAATCACACTGTAGCTGCGATGGGGTAACATGTCTCTGAAAGTCCCTTAATTGTTCTGAAAAGGAACAAGTGGAGGTTAATTCCACACTGAAAAATAGAAGGAGAAACACGTTTTGGCTGTTGAACTTTCTTCAGGTGTGAGTCTGTACTTGGATATTTATCTGTACCTGATTCAAGACTGTACAGGTTACTTGGACAAATAGGCTAAACAGCTGAAATGTTGTTTTTCTCCTGTCTATTTTTCAATTTTCAATTAACCTTTACTTGTTCATTTGCAGCCAGTGTACACAAACACATTGACTCCCTATTCGATCAATAATCATTCTGTTACAGTTATTAGTCTTATTAAAACACTCTACAGCAGAAAACTGTTACAATGCTGACCTTTCTTACTCCTTTCATAGGGACTCCAGGACTCTGACCCCAAACAGGTTAGGATCACATCTTTCACCAGACCCTACTGGTCAAATATATTCCTCTTAAACGCCTTCGTTTACTCACAGATTTCAGATTCCATTAGTTTGGACTCTCTTTCTCTCCTCCTCGCCCCTTTCCTCCATATTCCTGCTCCCTTCCCCTCTCTCACTGCACTGAAACGTTTTTTTTTTCTTCTACTCTTCATCGTGAAATTTACCTCTGCTTGTTCGTTAACAATAATGATAATCATCAATGAATTATGTCTACAGAGACAACTGATTCTCAGACCAGAGCGTGTGGCCCTGCGGTTTATAATCACACAGCTCCTGTCCGCGGGTGAGGCGGTGCTCAGCTCAGGACGAGCGCGACAGTGCAGCCCACACTGCAGCTGGGAAAGGGAGGTTTCCTCACAACAGTCCATTCACAGGCCCTTCAGGGATACAGACACAGGCACACTGTGAATATGCATAGCACCCTCAGCGCACATCAGGGCCCTCTGTGCCAGCAACAGAGTGGAAGTGTGGGAATATTGTTTCTGGACAGGACGATAGTTCCTCCCAGGAGGAACAGGTGAAGGCTTTTTCCATGCTGAAGGAAGGGAAGAAGAAAAGTTTCAGCTGTGACACCTGAAGGCGGCACCACAGCCGAAACATTGTTTCTTTTCTTCTCTTCTCAGCATAGAATAAACCTTTACTGGTTCCTTTGCAGCCTACGCCTGCTGACACAGCTGAACTAAGTTCCTCCCAATAGGAGCTTTGACCTCCCCTGGCCACAATTACACTGACCTTTCTGCCAGTCTCCCACACAGGGAATCCACGCAAAATTATCCTTGACCTCAGACGACACCTTCCCCAGCCTGCCAGGAATCCACAAGCCTCTCATCTACTGGCTTCACTCTTCCAGGGTTCTGCTGCTGTCCCACTGTTCAGCTGAGCCACTGGGGAAGCCAGATGGAGTTATTATCTCAATTTAGTGCCGGACAGTGCTCCGAGTTTACCTTTCACCCACAGAACACAGATTTGTAAATACTTATTAAAGCAGGGGGTTGCGAGTTAGTTCGGAAACTATAAAGAGCAACCTGTAATTAAAGGGCCTAACAGCACACAATGACATACTGTATTTTGGGTGATGAGCGTTGTGTTGTCAGCCCCTATTTAAATAACCAAGGAGGGGAGATCCATGTGGTTCTTAGAGGAACAGAGCTGTATCAGGGACAGATTATCCAACCAGTAACCGAGGGGATGAGACGCTGGTCATGTGGATTGAAGCCGCAGGGAAGATGAGTCAGCGCATCACTGCACCGAACTGGATGTGGTTGAGCAGGCAGAGAATCATCCCACTGACCTTCAGGATAGTGGAGGCATACACACTGTGATGTCCACAGTAACCAGTAAGATGACATACTCTGAAAAATATTGCCGACACCGGACTGGGTATTAGTGCTCTTTCCCATTATGCCAGATGCCTTCACCCCATACAGGTTGCTTTACAAAAGGATTATTAGTGAATGTGCTGGGGAGTCTTAACCCTGCCTGTGTTGATTAGAGTCCCTTATCTGAAAAACAGACTTCTCCTCCCCCCACCCCAGAGTACAATCCCAGCTGAGTGACACCAGACAGCTGCGCAGCTTCGGACCCCAGTTTCGCCCAGATGTCCTTTCCTGCTCACAGCAGCACAGCTGTCTTTACGACACACACGGGGAGTGGGCCTGACTGAGTGTTTGTAGTGTTGCGATCGCCTCTTCCTCTCAGGAGGAGGACTGTGTGCACCAGAGCTCCTCTGGGCGCAGAGCAGTGCAGACCTGCTGAACACGTTCCTGTACAAGACAGGCCGAACCGCAGGAGTCCATCGGGCCATCGTGCCCATCTCGCTCTCCGGCTGGGCTGAGCCCCTGTGGGAACAGTCAGCTCTTTGCCATCTCGTCCTCTGCATTCCGGTGCAGCCTGGAGCAGGAGGGGAGAAGAGTGCTCTGTGGCAAACTGTTGCAAAGGGCACTAGAGCAACTGAAAAACTGAGTGAGTAATGAAGGAGAAGCAAAAGGAAAGGAGGCAGAGAGTTAAAGCTTTAGAGTCCATCATTGCCACTGGCTTCCTTCCTCATTAACCGAATCCTGTAAGGGACCAAAGGCTGTAACATCTCCTACAAGATGATAAGAAGCTTTATTTAATTATGTGTCTTTAAAAACCATCATCTCAAAGCTCTTTACACCATAAATATCCACATTTGACAGTACAAGTAAGATGAAAATCTTACGCAGCTATACATGAAAACAAAGCAGCTTCAGAAAATAAAACAATCACCAAAAAATCCTTTGTGAAAGAGTATGTTTATAAGCTTGGTTTAAAAGTGCCCACTGAGCCGAGTCCCTGATTTCCTTTGGGATGGTGGTCCAGGGCTCTGGGGAGCAGCAGCACAAGGCCCCGTCACCCTCAGTGTGCAGACGAAACCAGCCAGTATTAACTGAGCAAAGGTCACATGGAGGCAAACAATATATCAGATAATATTGTATATCAGCTAGATACTGAGGAGTCATACTATGTAGAACCTTGGACATAAGCAGGAGGATCTTAAAATCAACTGAAAACATGGCAGGTGCAAGATCACTCACTTGTGACCTAGTCAAGATTCTAGCTACCCAACTCTGAATATACTGTTAATCGGTAAGTGTAGTTTTAGAGATTCCTACAAGTAGGATGCTACAATAATCAATCCCAGAAGAAAAGGCAACACAATTCCGTTTTACTATTAGATAAGATAAAATCACTTTATTAGCCATATACAATTTCTTGTATTAGGAATTAGTCTTTTCGCATACCCCAGCTTGCTCTCCATGAGACACACAGACAGGGAGAGAAGCTGGGGGTCAGCCATTTATACAGCACCCCTGGAGCAGTTGGGGTTAAGGGTCCCAATGGAGTAGGATTCCTTTGCCGGCTGCAGGATTTGAACCGGCAACCTTCCGGCCACAGGATCCTTAGCCAACACTCTGCCTGTATTATATATGAACAAGTAATAGGTTTATTCCATCCTGAAAAAAAGGAGAAAGAAAATACAACGTTTTGGCCTTGGGGCCTTTTTCAGGTGTGACACCTGAAGAAGGCTCCATGGCCGAAACGTTGACTTTTCTTTCTTCTTTTTTTCAGCATGGAATAAACCTATTACTTGCTCCTATGCAGCCTACGCATGCTGACGCAGCTGCCCACCTGAACTACTGTATTATAAATGCTGTCTGTATTATAGATACAGACAGCATAGGACACAGCTTGGCATTATTCTGTCAATGAGGTTTGAAATTCTGTCCAGGCTGGACACTTGAACAAGGTTACAGCACTGGTTTTACATAACTGAAAGGAGAAATTCAACTACATAATATCAATCTTTTGACAATTAAGATGTGAAATGATTTGTGTCATATAAACCTATATCAGAAATGCAGTGGGAGAGCACTGAAACACACAGTTTCCTCAAGTATCAGGTGAAGTGTAGACAAACATGAGTGTCCTCTGTATAAAAAAAATAATATTCCGACCATGTAATTTAATATTTGAGTGAGGGAAAACAAATTGTAGAGGGGTCCCAGTAATGAGCCCTGTGGAACACCTGTGGATCAACCCAACTTCAGAACTAAAACCAAGAAGAATAAAATGTCGAGCCTCGGGTAAGACCTCAGCAGCTTAAGGGCAGAGTCAGAGAAAGCAGTGTCTGTAGCAGCAGTGTCTGTAGTCGGAAGTCATGCTTTGCAGCACCACATGTAGCACTGAGATCTCTGAGATTTCAGCAGCGTGCCTGAATCAGCAGTAATGAGATCGTTAAGATTAAGAGCTCGTTAAGAGCTATTTTGTAGCAGAGCAATTGTGTGAAACCAGTTTGAAAAAGTTCCAAATGTTCATACCGAGATGTAAAGTTGCAGGAGAATATTTTTAAGTACGACTTAAGTTTCATGGCAAGACAGAGATGAGCTGGAAGTGACTCATGTCACCCAGGGCCACTGCGGATATTTAGGTCATACAGCTGCTAGCTCCATGCCTGAGTGCAGTCGGGGGCCAACAAGCAGGGGCCGGTTTTTATTGTGACCCATTCAGGGAAAAGTGCAGTAAAATAAGGCTGTAGAGAAACCCCACTCCAACCATAAATATCAGCCACGTGTCTCATGTTTGTAGTTTAATACTACATCTACTGCCTGTTTAACTCACCACCACTGAGTTGTATCAAATTACTTGTGTCAGCTGTCTGCATTCATGCTGGTGTCAGGGCTGTTCAGGCTAATATTCAAACTTCCATGACTACAAACGTCCTATCCACTTATATAATGCAATTTAAAAAACACTGCAATGAATACACAGCCTTTGCAAGATTCAAATGATATGTACAGGAATAGCAAAAGTACAATTCTAGACATGCTTAGTAAAAAATGACTAATGCACACAGCACAATGATGCTCCAGCAGCGCATGGTATGGAAAGAGATATCACACTTCCTAATTTATCGACATGTACGGTACCTATTGAGAACAGGCTTATCTGGGATAAAAGCAGCAACAATGTACAGGTAAAAAACCTGCAAAATCATATCTGAGATTTGGCACCATTACATTACAATATGCTGTGAGTACAGGCTACACTGCTACACTGCTTCTGTTTGTAATTCAAACACTGTGTGAAAGTGAGCCGCATGAGAAAGGAAGAGTGGGAAAGCAGAAGATCAGAGATGTACCTTGTTTGCTCTGATAATATACTTCTTTCCTGAGGTCCTGTTTCCTAAGGAGACCACATTGAAAAATTACCCAACAAAATTGAACAATTAGAAAAAAAAGTGGATCAACTTGATACACAGACTCCACCCACGCAGATATTTTCCTGTGACTTGCTCAACCCCGGAACTTCTGTCAGTCATCAAAACTCCCTCATTAAGAAATGGTTTCAATTCTCACACTGCAATCTTTTGCCCCTTTGCACACAGACTATTTTAACACCAACAGACACATGACTAGTGACAAAGGAGGCTTTAAAACTCAGAACATGTGTAATATTATGCTAGACCACGAACACAATACTGTACCATCACCTGAAATTTCCATTTAAGTCTGCTTTCTGCATGATGTCCTTACTACACAGAAAGTACAATGACTTTTCATTATTAATCTCCCTTTACAGTACACAATTCCTGGCAGCTCCTGAGAGCTCACTGGCAGGATGTTTCCAGGGGAAGGAAACTGATGTTACACAGTAGAATTGCTCACTTACCTTGTGCAACACTCCTATTTGTTCCCACGGCAACTCATTGTATTGAACCACTTTCAACAACAGTGCTTTGCTACAACTGTTAGATTGTTAATGAAGTTACAAATAAATTCAACACAGGCTTTTAATTTAAGTGGAATAAAATTAACAATTTATTTTTTTATCCATAAAGGGTAACAGTTTTTTTCAGTGATATTTTATATTCTCTTCTCTCTCTCTTTCGATATGGAATGAGGATGTTAGCAGGAAAACATAAAAAAAACAAAACAAATGAAGGCAATCTGGTGAACTGAGCTTGCCTGGTTGTTAGTGAGACAGCACCACCTTGAGTGCACTGGTCTGGACAGGGAAGGAGAGGGTATCTGATGGAAGGCCAGGTCCACATGAGGCCCAAAGCGGGAGATGAAAGGATCAGTGTGGCCCCCTCAGCCCCACATCACAGATGCACTCCTCAGCTCACGCAGGTCAGCACAGCGAACAGAGAACAGAGCCGCGCTGACAGAGAGGGAGGACACACTGATGCTTAAGATAAGTTAGCAGTATCCAAAAGTTCATAAGAGAACAAAATATCGGGGCCTGATGCTGGCACAGTCAGACCATGTTTACTTTTTTCCATGAAATGGCACTTTAAGCCTCTTTTATTCTCATTTTAATCCATTTATAGACTCTAGGGCTGTTTTTTGGGGAAGTTCTCCTTGTCTGACATCTTTTCCCAAGAGGAAAAAAAACAGGGGCAGGAAAAATTCTACCAGTTGACCAACATTTTCATCCTGTTCCTTCTAGTGAGAAATATACTATACACATATCATGTGAGCTTTACAAGGAAGTCAAACAATAAAACAACTGCAAACTTGCAAACTAAAGACAGTTACACAGTAAGACAATGAAACTATGAACTATTTCAAACCATCGTCAGCAGACAATACTCTACACTACGGTTTAAAATTAATCTGTCCTGAAATCAGAGACAATAAAATACAGATTTCTGGGAGAGAAATGACAAAGCTGTGCTGTGATGTTGTTTTGACATCATTCACTATTAGATGTTTTGAGATGATGCCCTACTCATCACAAGCCTCCAGTTTTTAACTTTTATGCTGTTTACAAAGGCGCTGTAGTTGCAAAATGAGAATTACAGTAAAACTGGCTTCTCTTCAAGAGCTACTGCCAGACAGCTCGCACCAGGGAAGCAAATCAGTCTCACTTCCCGCCACGCAGCCCACTGAAAGGGCCGTGGTGCCACGCGAACAATCTTCCCCACGTCACTTCCTCCTGGCCAGGGCCTGTCTGACACTCCTGCTGGGGGGCTCTCCTTGGGTGCCACACCCAGCGAGACAAAAACCAGGACAAAGTAAAACAGCGGGTGATGTGCTCTGTGCCCTGCCTGCAGCTCTCCCTTTCCCAGGGGCCTGTTCTGGCACCCAGAACAGACGTTTCTTCTTCTAAACCGTCACAAAAGCAGCAAGGTGCTGTTTCAGGACTCTCGTGTCACTTCGTGTTGTTCGGTCACATTTCCCAAAACTGCCTCAAGTTCCTCTTTGCAACTGGTGCAGGCTTTGAATCTGGGCAGAATCTGGTCATTTATTTTCAAACCTCAGAGCTGAAGTGGAATTACTGAACTGAAAACATGTGTTTGTTGAACGGTTTAGAATTCAAGCATATCGTCGGCACAGTACAGTCAGGGACCCGTGCAGAGCAGGAATGGGCACTGGTAACGCTAGCTTTCATCCCTCCTCCAAACACGACAACTATCAACTTCATTCATGAACACTTTCGAAGCCCAGAGCACTACACAACAGCACACACAGTTTATAAAAATGTAACAAATGACTTGGGCAAGATGGATCACCTACTGCTGCAGGTTTGTAGAAGCCTTTAATTGGAAAGTACCTGTATAACCTAGAGGACACCAGCCCTTTAAAGCCCAGAGCTGCTCAGACCTGGTGCAGGTTATAAAATACAGAAGAACAAGCAGGGCCAGCAACCACAGATCACGGCTGCATTCACATTACATCAAACGTATTGCCTGGACTGTGAGACTGAACCAAAAGCGTGTGGGAGATCACTCCTCTTTCTTTGAAACAGACACCCAGAAGCATGGAAAGGTTTGGAGAACAGAACCAAGTACATGAGCTCAGAAATTCAGTGGAAAGCAGCTTTAAACCTGTTTTCTCCTCCTACGTGTCAGCACTGGAAAGGACGCTGGGATTCACGATTGGCGTTCGCCTTCGTGGCCGGAGTGCCAGGTCAGTCTCTCCTCGTAAAACGCGATGACGACCTCGGGGCACCGGACACTGGCCTCCCTCGCTGGCACCAAGCCCACTTCTTCAGAGCCCTTCCTGAGTGCGCAACACAAGAGAACAGAAATCAAGCGAGTCCTCCTCCAGACACCACCTGCGCTTTCCAGCCAACCGTGATGCCCACAGGCAGCGACTCAGCGGAACCCAGCTGCTGTTGTGCAATTTGGCACAGTACGTCCTCGCCCTCTCTTTTCAACCCGGTTCCCTGTGCTGTGCACTAACAAACGAAAACCTTTCTCACTTAAGAAAATAAAACTAAAGCAGCCTGATCTCTGAACTATATGAACTAAAAAAAAAAGTCTCTCAGTTCTACCCCATCTCATTTCTGGTGTCTTTCTTTTAACCAGCAAATGAGCCTGTCCAGAAGCCCACTTGGACCATCTTTATCCAGGGGGATATAATTTAAAGAGGTAAACTTATGACAGCCCTGATTTAAGGGCTCCTCATTCCCTCACTGGAAAAGTGGGAATGTGGCAGCAGCTCCCGTCTCTCAGTCTACAGGTCACCAGCCCTGCACTGGAAGCAGGGACTGGTATCTTTCCACAAATTAGCTTGATGTGCTGAGAAAGTCACTCAGAGAAGCAGAGTAGGTAGGAGAGGTGGTCTGCGTTCTGAACCCTCGTTCAGGATAGGAAAACAGTGCATTACCCAGCACTCCCAGAGGACCGGGTCCCGACAGAGCCACGGGGAACTGGACACGCACCAGAGTGCACCAGGGGAATGGCTCAACAGCCTGGAGAGACCGGCACCAATAATCCAATCACTTTACCATTTCAGCAGGAACATGAGCTCCCCTTCGCAGTCTGTGGACCCAATTATACACTCGGGTTCGAGTCCGCTGGCAAATCCACGTGGAGGCTCAGCTGACTCCTGACCATGACTCTGCTGCTGCAGTCAAGGAAGAGAGGCAGACATCAGTGACATCACACGTCAGTGCCTGCGCAACAGGAACACCTTCACCTTCACTCTCTGTTTATGTCTAGTTTTAAACCGAATTAACTCAGCATCCACCATTGCACACACGTGCCACTCCAGGAGTGAATTCCTGTTCATTCTCAATGCAGCTCAGAAATGATTAAACATATATAAGCTTGTCTGTTCCCATGGAAATGTGCTGTGAATTTAAAGGGATATCCTGTTTCTACAGGAACTCTGTTCACAGAGTCTGTGTTAGCATCTCCACCTCACTTGGACATCGTCTCACCTCTCCGCCGTCCGGCTGCTCCCTGTCCTGCTCCGGCGGCTCCAGGGAGACTCCCACGCGGCTCTGGAACTCGGCGATCAGCTCCGGGCAGTCGAGGTTGTCTTCCGGCTCCCAGGTGTTGTCAGCTCTAGGACAGAAGCGTGCTCTTTAGCGCACGAGCATTTCCATTCTTCAAAGGGGTGAATGAATTTCTGCAGGAGGTTCGCATCTCCCCCAGTGAGACCCTGACTGACCCTGGGGTCCCGAGGGGAACCCTGCCCTGATGGGGAGAGACACCCCCACATTTCAGCACCATGCCTGCCGCGTGTGGACGGCCGGTTCATAACCTCTGTCCGACACCTGGAAGAGAAACACTCTTCCTGGTCCGACACCCTGTCTAATTTTCACCACAACTTTAACACACAGGTGCAAGAAGGTGTAAGTGACACTGAGTGATAACTCAACGTGCTGCTCACTGTGTCTGGAGGGACTCTGACTGCCGAGGCCTGAGGGGAAAACAAAAGAGCACAAGAGAGTGAAAAGAGAGTGAGCCCGCTGGCTGACACCTGAGCCCACTGCGGCCACAGAGCGACCTTCCAGGCTGCTTACTCGGGGAAGCCTTTCCACTTGAGGAAGTACTCCACCTTCCCCTCCGTGACGCGCCGGTCGATGATCTTCTCCACCACGTACTCCTGCGCTGTGGCCGCCTCCTCCGCTCTCCGCTGTTTCACGTTCTGCTTCTTCCTCATTGGCCCTCAAGTGAAAAACAAACAGGCAGCAGACCTCCAGCGCTCTTCCTCTTCCTCGGTCAGTCACATGAGCACACAGCACAGAAACACACCCCCCAAACTCAGCAAGTCAGGTTACACCTCGGACAGGACACAGGTCTGTCACACGTGCATTCACACACGGGACAATTTCAGGGCTCCAATTAATCTCTCACCAGGAAGGGGCGGGGGGAGATAGAGAGAGAGCCCCAGGAAGAACATGCAAACTCCGCACAGAAGGTGCTCCAGGTCAGAATCAAACCTGGGACTCAGGAGCTGCGAAACGTTTGGAGACTCCCAGCACCCTGCAGCTCCTGAGGACAAGCTTGAGTCAACACTGAGTCAACAAGCTTCCTAAACCGATCAAAACTCCCTTTCAGAAAACAGATGATTTAAGCGCTTCCAATCAAGCCTGCTGGATCAGAACTAAGGAAAGGTCATGGATGACTGGATGCTCATCTGGCTTGTTCAGTAAAAAAAAATATCTAAAATTTCATCCTCTGTGGCCTCTGTGGGTCTCCTCCACCAGCTGGCTGGGCCAACCGTGCTTCCCCAAGACCGGGGCTGTCCGAGCAAGTTATATTTTAATCATTTCAGGATCAGGAAACCCCTTGCGAGTGCAAAATTAAATGCAGAGTGAGATTTGGAAAATTAACCCAGAAGGGGTTTAATTACAGAACACAGCTTAAAAAACTGAAGCACAAAGAACCTCAGAATGAAGGGGTGACCCTGAGGAGCTGGAAATCCCTAAGGAGGGAAGTGATTCCTGAAAGTTTCACTACCTCCGGCGGCCTCCTGCAGACAGCTGGCCGTCAAGCCACTGGGCACTTGGAGCAGCACCCCCAGGATCCCCGGGAAAACATGCAAACTGCACACGGAATGCACTGCAGCCCCAGACCCCAAACCAGGAGGCAAGAGGGGAGCAGAGTGGCTTAACTTTTCCTTTTCCAGGGGTAAAACGAATTCAGAAAAAAAAAAAACTTTAAAAGCCGTGGAAAAAAAAAAAAGAATAATAAAAATAAATTAAAAAAAAACAGCTGTGTACAGCTTGTCCCGTTGTGAAATAAGCATGAAGAATGCGGTACGAGGCGAAACTATTTCCCCAGACTCTCGCTGTGCTCCGAGTCCTGGACACAGCCTCCATCGGCCCTGACTGCCCACAGCTCATCGCCAAGCGCGCCGGGGGACTTTTCACAGAGGACATTTCAGTGCTTCCGATTGGAAAGGACGGGTTACTCAACACTGCCTGTGAATTGCACATGAATTCCGCAAGCTGACACAGGTAGAGCGAGTTTAAAGTCACATTTAATTCCTCGTCCGGCGTCACCAACTTCGCCGCTTCTTTCGCGCTTCAAAGTTACTGCGACACACAGGTCTTAATAAAAGATCACGGCTAGGGCTGTTTCGGCGTTTATTTCGCATCCCATTCATATATTTACCGTGCGTTTGCTGGAGTGGAAATTAACGCGGCGGTGAACCAAAATGAAGAAGCGATTTACCTGACTGCTGTCTCTTTCTTTTGCGTATTCCAGGTAGATAACTACGACAAACGGGCTCGTAAAAAGCTACGTTAAGTGCGTAGCGAATGCCATTTTGTCGCGGTGCTCGAGTCGCTGCTCGTCGCGTACCAACAAGGGCGGAGGAATAGAAAAAGGTCCGTAGAATCAAAAGCTCATCAGCGCATCCCGTCAAAGTCCGATATTTAAAATCAAGCACACGGCATTGCCGTATTCTGTCAACAACCTTTTCACGGAGGAGTTAAATTTTAACAAATGGCCGGAGCAGACGCACGGAGGAAGTGGTTTCTTGGGGAAAAGGGTCAAGTCAGGCCGGCGGGGAGGGGAGGCGGCGGCGCTGAGCGCCGGGAGTCCAGGGCACCGTGCAGCGGCGGCGGCATCACACGCGTGACGTCAGCCGCCCCGCCGCCCGGCACACGCGGCGGTCCGGGGCCGCTGTGCTCCCGTGCGCGGAGAGCCTGCGAGACCAGCGCCACCGGGCCGGGCCTGACACGAGAGAGCTGGGCTCAGGTGCTCACAGCTCAGGTCCTGAAATCGATTTTTATTTCAACACCAGAAATACCGAAAAAAAAGGAGGCAATATGAAAATAGATACAGAAATAGACACTTCTTAGCCAGAGGAATTCACAATTGTTAAAAGCGGACAATGATACTTTTTGCATATTTCCATTGTGTGTCTTGCCTTTTGATCCTTTATATTTCTGATGGAATTTAAATGAAAAAGGATTTCAACTTTAAAAGCATGAACAGAGGGAGCAGTATTAGATCATTTACTTCCGTGGATGAAGTATTTCGCCAAAATAATTGACAGATTAATAATAAAAACATATCCTTTGTCCAAATCAGATCTAACAAAATATAAAATATCATCAAAATCTTTCAATTTAACATTTTCCTTAAAATGCTTAACAATAACATTTTGTAAATCTATCCAAAACAGTTTTGTATATATGCAGTTAAACAGGTGTAACAAAGATTCTTTCCCATTATTACAAAATACACGTAAGTCACCTTGTTCATGTTTAAATCTAGAAAGCGTCAATTTAACTGGCTCGTTTTTCTGCGTGCGAAACGCTTTGGGTACATGACGGTTTTTTCTTCTGTTGACCATCGAGTGACAAATCTTTACCTCTTATTTACTTTTTAAAATTAGTTATTTGAGCTGTTTTAAGAGGACCCCCAGCTCAAAAAGATTACATTTTTCCTCAAATGTTCGCGAATAGGCGCCTGCTCGATACGAGGTCCGGTTAGGGAGCCCCTTCAAAACCGCCCTCACCCCGTGTGCCTGCAAGACCCGAGTCCTGGTCTTCTTCAGGCGCCCCTAGCGGCCACGAAGAGCAATAAGACCTGTTTTGCCAACTTAGCCTATCTACTGCGCCCACCCAGCACTCCGTTTTCACTGAACATTTTATGTTCAATATTCCAGCTCTCCGCTTTGTATTGATCTATAACACGGCGGTACTTGAGGATCAGTGCAAGCGCCCTGCTCGTTCCACCACGACAGGGCTGTGTCCATGTGAAACGCAGCTCGCTCATTGCTGGACAAACAGCACCACCCAACGCGAGCAGCACAGTGAGACAGGGGTCTTTTGTTACCTTGGCCGTGAACGCACTCCTCCTCCAAACTGCCAACACTGCCTGCAGTTGGAAGTCAACCCCCCTCCCACCACATCACAGCACCCAGGTGCCAGACAGCAGAGCGAAAACAGACTCACAATGTCAATTTCAGTAAAACAATTTTTCCAATGCATTTGTAAAGGCCACGTTGCATTTTATTGAAAGCTTGCTTGACAGACCTGGTCATCACATTGTACACTGTGCCCACAGCAGTGCACGTTCTCTTCCAACACACCTGTACATCCCTGCGTACCTGGGACAGTCCCAGGTCCTACAAGTGAGACGGACATCTGGAGTCAAAAGCAGCTTTAAAAACAGAGCAAGCTTATAAACTTTTATTGAACAATTGAAAATTTACAAAAGTGAATACAGTACATTATACTGCAAGATCAGTATCATGTACAAGTTCAAACTGCCAAATGTAGCAATCGCCATATCAAACCGAGACACTGGACTCCAGGAGCAGGGCTGAGCAGAGGGTCAGTTTCCTTTGAGCTTTACCAGTGCGACAGAAGGAGGTCAGTACTCTTTAAACCCAAGAATTGAAGAGTCAATTTCCAAAGCCACCAGTCCAACGTCCGATTCCCCCACCCTTAAAATTTGGGAGCTCCCAGTTTGTATTTCATGCCCAATGATCGGCTCAGTTTCCCAGGAACCCTGACAGCAGTGCAGGATGTGCGAAGCGAGTTCGCTCTCAGGCCATCCGACCCAGCGACGGGCTCAGCAGGAGCCCCACTGCTCGGGCTCCTCTGCAGGGACTGCAGGCCTGAGCGCACCTGTCCCATCACAGGTGCTGCTGTAGTCAGAAGTGTCCCACCTCAAGAGGAGAAACAGCCCACACTCAAACAGAGAAAGTCCAACGATACCTTTATTGTAAGACAAGGGAAAAAAAAAAAAACACCCCAACAATGACCTTTTCACAGACATCTGAAAAACCAGGAAACCTGAGCCGCTTGGTCAGCCCTCCTGAACAGCAGAGATGAATGTCGCACAGCGTGACCCATACTCTCTGGACACAGGGGCAGGACGTGCACGTATGTCAGTGGGATCAATTTAAAAAAAATTAAACATGTGCAGCACAACACTGAAACACCAAATACAGTCCAGGCAACAACCGATCAAGTCAAACCGGTTCCCAGGAATAAAAAAATACAAAACATAAAAGATGCACATCGGAATGAAGCTCACAATGACATACACTCCAAAAACAAAATATAACTGCACGAAAAAAGAAAGCTTCAAGACCAAATCTGAACAAATCAATAGTTAAACCGTAGGTTGTTCACGGACTTAAAAACAAGCGAGATCCTGAAATCCATTCAGCCTTGATGCGAGCTGGACCTGAAGCAGTGCGACTGTACGGTGGTGTTTTCCCCGAGGGGTCGAAAGCGACTTTGACAGCCACCCTCGCAGGGGAAGTGCTGCGTCTGAACCCCCTACCGGCCCTGGCCCACACGAGATCAGGAGAGACTCATCTCAGAAGCCCCCGCTGGCTCACAACTAAGCAGCTAAATTAACAAGCAGCCTGCATTCAGGACAAGACGTGTCTAAAATATGTACACATGAAAGCAGTCTCCATCTTGACAGAACTGCTCTAGGATAAAAACTAAATGTTCCCCTGCAAGATGAGAGACGCTGCCCCAGGCGAGGGCTCTACTGCTGCTCGTCTTCTGGGCAGGAATGCCAGGTTAGCCGCTCCTCGTAGAAGGCGATGACGACCTGAGGGCACTTCACGTTCGCTTCCTTCGCCGGCACCAAATCCGCTTCATCCGAGTCTTTCCTGAGCCAGGAGGAAAAAGGCAGATTCACTGAACGTGCATTTTCAGACCCTGCTCATGAAGCACTAGAAGCTCCTGGCAGTACTCAGGGTTCTGGCACACATTTCAACCCCTCTCCTGCTGCACATGGGTTTAACTTTCTGGTCAAGCAATTCTGAATTCTTAACATTCTGAATGCAGCAATACTGTATTTAACCTAAACTACCCCGACAAGCCCAGAACCGAGCGCGCTGGAGCGAGAAGGAAAGGCAGATCTCACCACTTCATCAGGAACATGAGCTCCCCGCTGCTATCGGTGGCTCCTATGATGCGCTCGGGGTCCAGGTTACGAGCGAATCCTCGCGGCTTGTCATTCTGCAGAGGGGGAGAAAAATAAAACATTGCCATGGGCTCCTGCCAGCGGCCGGGCGTTCACGGCATGCAGAAATGTGGGCACGGAGACCGGGGACACTCAACCCAGCCCGGTTCCCACTGCAGGGGGGGGGGGGTCTGCGATCAGCACCTCGATCTGCTGGACAGCGCGTCAGGGATCTACGAAACAGCCCCTTCTTCTGCTCTAGGCCCCTCAGCGCAAAAAGCCCCATATGAAGGCGAGTACCCCATTCATGTTTTATTGTTTAAAAGGAAGAAAGGTCAGGACATCATGGGAGGTAACAGTCCATGCTACAAGAGCTACAGCGACAGCACACTAAGACTGACTGATGTTCACTCCCATTCATTCTATGTCTGCCTGCACCCCGTTCTGTGACCGCGCACGGGACGGGGAAGGTTCTTCATGATGCAGTGTGCTTTCTTCACCGAGACTGGGACCTCCAGCAATTCACTCTTCAGCGCAGCAGGCCACGCGACAGCACTTACAGCCTCCTTTTTCTTCTTGGCTTTGCCTTCTTCCGACTCGCTCTCCGAGACGGATTTCCTCTTGTTGGACTCCGTGCGCTCCACGGTGGACTTCTGCGAGGCCAGGAAGGCTTCGATGAGCTCCGGGCAGTCCAGGTTCTCCTCTGGCTCCCATGTGTTATCAGCGCTACAAGAGGCAACAGTGACACTCACTCACTGTAGGAACACAGCTTCCAACTCAGAACTACAGCACTTTTACTTCACGACCGAGCCTGGCGCAAGTAACCGCAGTTTCCTAGTAAATCCACTCGCCGAGAACTCGGGTTTAGCATTTTAAACACACTGAAGAGCTCACTGGCTCAGCCGAACAGATCTCTTGAAACGCGGGCTTGACTGAATACCTGCACAGTTTTTTTTAATCATCAGAAATACAAATTCCATCACTCTTAGAATGTTTCAGTGTATTACACAATCTGGGGAAAAAAAACAGAACACCAAGTACAAAAAGTGAAGTGTTATTGCACTAAAAAAGGAACACGACAACAGTCGTGTCTCTAAACAGACCTGGGCAGTGAGCCCCAGGCTCCAGCGCCACTGTGTGGAGTCGGGTCAGAGGGAGAAGAGCATCAGCAGAGCTCTGGTGAAGAGCAGGATTACACATTCATGCTCAAAGACTTATGACTTTGGAACCTGACCCTTCGGAGATTGATATGTGAGGAGGAGAAACTTAAAATCCATTTCACAAGGGCTCGAGGTCAGAGTTCACGTGTTGAGCGCTTTTCCTTGGTACACAGGCTGAAGACTATTCACTCCCACATTGCCAGCTTTGGCAAGAGTGCTCAGAAGCCATATTTCCCCAGGAAGTGCTGAAAAACCGTTAACCAGAACCCATGCAGCCAACCCCCACCCTCAGCACGAGACTCGCACTTACTCCGTGAAGCCCTTCCACTTGAGGTAGTATTCCACTTTGCCGTTCACCACGCGGCGATCGATCACCTTCTCCACCACGAACTCCTCGGGCTCCGCCTCCTCCGTCTTCTTGTTCTTCCCGTTCTGCTTCTTTCCCATGGTGCCCTGCGGAGCCGGGGGGGGAGAGGGGGTCAGTAACGAGAGCCGAGTTCGATGTGCCACTCCAACAACCCAAACTGCAACGTCCCGGGATGAGCAGCGGAACATCGAGAACGAGGGGAATGTCACGCAGGTGGAACAAACCGCAAGTCCTTCCAGCTGTGGAGCTGCACCGTACTCTCTCTCCACGCTGGACAGCAGCCCATACAGAAGTACTAAACCCTGACGCAGGGCCCTAACACAGCCTGCAGCTCACCAGTACCTGGAGGGGAGACCTCCTGGGAAAGCTGAGGTTGCTGCTGGAAGGTGTTAGTGGGGCCAGTAGGGGGCGCTCACCCTCCGGTCTCTGTTGGTCCTACTGCCCCAGTACAGTGATGGGGACACCATATTGTTATAAAGGCGCCGTCCTTAGGATGAGAAGTAAAACCTAGGTCCTGACTCTCTGTGGTCAGGAAAAATCCCAGGGCATTTCTGGAAAAGAGTAGGGGTGTAAACCTGATGTCCTGACGAAATTTCCCCAGGCTTCATCACTCTGCTCTCCTCCCCACTGAGGGCTAGTGTGTGGGGAGAGTACTGGTGTATCATCCAGGTGGGGCTGCACACTGGTGGTGTAGGGGATCCCCATTACCTGTAAAGCGCTTTGAGTGAAGGGTCCAGAAAAGCGCTATACAAGTCTAAGGAGTTATTATTATTAACAGCAAGAGACGTTGCCAGGGGTTATCGCACACCTGTGAGGTGCGGGCACTGTTCGCGAAACCCGTTAGGAAACAGGAGGACTGGTCCTCCCCGACACACCGCAGGACGGGCTACTTTCCCCAGCTGAACCCCCCGGAGCGACTGCCGCGCAAGAGCCACTCCGGCGTCGCCGCCTTTGTGCAGCTGCGCTGCAGCCCCGGGGCCGGCTTGACCCTTCCTCCGGACATTCACCTCAGGCCCCGACTCACCGGCGCCGAGAGTCATTTCATTAGGATATTACTTCCACCGACACCGTCCCGGTTTCCCTCCTTTTTAAACGGAGAAGAAACACGCTTTTTCCAAGATGGCCGGACAGCATAGCATGCCCACGGTCTCGGAGAGCCCCGGCCGAGCCGACTCACGCCGGACACCCGGGGAACAAAGGGTCGTCGGGACGTCCCAGCCTGGCCGGGTGCCGAGGCCTCCTCGTCTAAGACACCGAAGAGCATTAAAAACCCCACCAGACATGGACGGGGGATCCCCACAAGTTTAGGGGCTTCCCGGCATCCGCAGCACAGCGGCGCCGGCGTCTTCGGACACCCGGGACCGAGAAGAGCGGCGCCCCGCAGCGGGAACAGGGGTCTCCCACACGAGGGCTAGACCCGCCTGCAGCCCCCGGCCTGCAACCCCCGGCCGCCCCGCTCTCCTGCCACAGGGGCTGCTCAGCGGGTATCGGCGTCTGAAGTGTTGTTGTGCACAAAATCCCCGAGAAGAGAAGTCGGATCACAGCGTTCCCCCCGGGCGGCCCTCCCGGGACAGCGGGGGGGGCGGCCGGTGAGGTCACGGAGCCGCGGCTGCGGGTCAGCCCGGCTGCACAGAACTGCCCCCGGCCCCTCGCCCCACAGCCCCGCCGCCTGCCCGCGCCGAGCGGCCTCTTACCTGCGAGCTGTCCGCCTGGCGCCAAAACCCCCGACCTCTCACAACCCGGCCCGCAAACTGCTCCCCGTCCGGACCGCCGCTGACCAAGCGTCCTCGCACAGCACAAAACAGCACAGCCCTCACGATCCGAGCAAGCACTAGTCTGACCCGCTGCTTATTTTTATTCCTCTTTCTTCGGTTCAAACGCAAACACTATTCTCCAAGGAGCGCACGCCGCTTGCGTGACGAACTTCACAATGGTCCCGCAGCGTAAGAACCGCGCGCAGGGGAGCGTAAAGGTGAGAGTTCACAGGAGATGACGTCACGGCTACCGTCGGGTCTCGCAAGCGTTTGTGGGATACTGGTGGTATCAAGTAGAGTTCGCAAGAGGCGTGGCCATCAAATTATTTCACGTTTGCAGATTTTTTTTAAACAAGAGAAAAGGTAACAGTACATGCACTGCTGCTAATCCACACTATGCTTCTTTCACACCGTTCTTTGGTTTCCAGATGCTCTTTATTCAATAGGCACCTGATTGCTGTTAAGCCCGTTTCCAACTCTTGCACTGGGGCGGCAAACTTTCTGTAATAGTTAAAATTGTACTGGAAATTTGGCTTCATTGTTGATATCACTGAGGACACACAGGCCGTAAGATAAAATATATAAAACTTATCTTTGTTGTTTTCATTTATTAGAGAGTTTATTGCACACAAGGCAGAGCTGTCTCACAGCTCCAGAGTGTTAGAGCTTTCTGGCTCCTGTCTGCATGGAGTCTGCATGGTCTGCCTGCATTCCTGTGGGGTTTTACCAGTTTCTAGATCAGCTCTTCCAAAACATTGTGTAAATGTAACACTCCCACCTTCAGGAATGGTGAAAATAGTGTCAAGGGTTTAGCCTGACCTATATGCTGCTCCTGTGATTCATGCATCTATTAGGCATAAACGTTGCCTAACGTTGCCTCCACGGCCGAAACGTTGTGTTCTCTTTCTTCTTTTTTTCAGCATGGAATAAACCTATTACTTGTTCCTTATTAGGCATATATCAAACAGGTACTTCATCTGGACCTCCCTGTAATGAGAGTTGTTGACATTAGAAAGTTGTAGGCTGTAGCTGTGGACCTCATAGCTGGAGTCTGGGGATGCAGGCTGGACACAGGATCATTCTCAGCCGCGCCCATCCCAGGATCTTGGGAAACAGGCGGAGCGGAGTCCGAGGACAGGGCAGCCAACAGAGCGGACGTCATGGAAAACAAAGACGGAGAACAAGAGGAGTCTGGCAAGAAAATCAAATCTGGTGCATTCACCCAGAGCATGACCTGAGAATAAAGAGCTGTAAGGGCAGGAACTACAGCCAGATCTGTACCAGACGTAGTGAAGATGCCTCTGCTGTTTCCAGCTCTCAGAGCTGATCTGTACCAGACTGCCTGAAGACATTTCTGTGCCTCATGTTTCCTGCTTCTGAGGTATCGACACAAAAAAAGCCACGAGCCTTTTAATTATGTAAATAGAAAAACACTGCAGTGAAAAGGAAGTTTGAAATGACTGAAAGACTCAGGGTAAACAGTTGGTTTGTTTCAGTTTTTATTTTTCTGCAGTGCATCTACAGTATAGGCCACCAGATTCATTAAAAACACAACATCAAGTCAGAAAGCACCAGGTAAGTAGTATTTTTAATCCAAAGTCCATAAAAAAGATAATTTAAATCAAATAGCATAAATTAAACAGAAAAAAACTATGCTAAGAAACAACAACAAAAATAAAAAAATATTGTTCATGGTGCAATTGAACACAACTGGAACCCAAGCATTTCAGGAAGTGCTTCTCCTGCAGTTTGCATCCCCACACAGAGCAGAGGGGCAGCATGTGGACTGACAGGGGTCACTGCCCACTCCCATCCCCACAGCTTGGCTGCCCTGGTGTCTCGCCTGCCAAAAGCTTATTCTCAGCCCTGCATCTGAAGCAGATTGGTTTCATTTCCTAGATGGTGTTGTAGGTCTAGGTGGTGTAATGGCATTATCTCATCAGTTTTTTAGATCTGATCTTCAGTTATACAGACTATCCAGGGCCTGCAGCACAGAAGGACGACCTGTGTGATTATTATGCACAGCAAGGGCCTGGATACAGCCTTCAACATAAAACCTGAAAGGCCCGTGTCTTTGTGAAGTTGGGCACCAGGGTCAGCTGGCTGACCTGGGCTGGCACCGCGATGGCAGTGGAACAGCGAGAGAGGAAGGCGCCGCCCTGGGCGTGCTCACCTCACTGGGAAGCAGGCGAGGGCGGGCAGGAAGACACCTGAAAGGCTCCGAAATCAAACTAGAGCGGAAAAGAGGAGAACAGAAAAAAAAAACTCATTTTCAAAACTCCATGAGTGCAACTGGGCTCTGTACCTGCTGGGATTCTGTCACAGTGGCTCGTGGGTCCAGAGCAGAACCAGTGCCACCCACTGCACAGCAGCCAGCTGCACGGCGCCAGAACACCGGGTCACCGCGGGACAGTCGAGACCGTCCAGGGTTCAAGGGGGTGACGTGAGCCCCGAGCCCTCTGCACGACACAAATACACTCGCAGGGAGGTCGGAACGCCTTCAGTATGCCATGTCTTTGTCATTTCTGATGCCATAAGAACAGCGGTAAAGATACAGTGCCAGGTACTTGCACCCGTTTCTCAGAAAACGTGTTCTCTCCAAGAATCAGCCTGGCATTTATCCCAGTTTGCAGTCACAGAAACCCTAGTGCAAATATTCCAGACAAGTAAACACTCATCAAAGCTGATCCATTATCAGTGCAGACCACCACTGTCTCGGCAAACCCGCAAGGAAAATAACCGGTTTTGTGCTTTTCATATTTCAGAAGAACATAAGAAAGGTTACAAACGAGGTCCGTCTGGCCCCTTTTGGTAAGTTTTTAACCTTTCTGTGTGATCCCATCTGATTCTTTACAAAGTACTGTATCGAAAGTCATAAAAGAAAAAATAACCATTTTCAAAACTGTAATACATAATACAAACATTGTAAAATATAGTGCATATAGAAAATGCAGCTGTTTGATCCACAAAGCGCTCTTTGAAAGAAGCCTCCCAGAACATTAAGGCCACTTAAAAAAAAGTTTGAACTGTTTTTAACGGTGTTCAGTTACTCTCCACTCCCACAAGCTGAAGTTTACATTAATCAAGCATTAATCAGCTCAGTGAAGGCATTTGTTGGAAGTTTGTAATGTCTAATGTTGTATAATCGCACTTGGAATTTACAGACTTTCAGTAAATTGAATAACCCCGAGTAACAGAAAAGAATCAAAAGCCGACGAGTCAAGTCAAGCTATCAACTAAACCAGTAAGGCATGTCAGAACCGTGAGGTCACAGAGGTCTGAGTGACGATCTGCTGTGGTACTCCCCCGTTCGCCTGGAGACACATGGCCAACGCTCACCTGCAGACTAGCTGCAGTACAGGTGGAGATCTTGCCGAACACAGGGAGCACGGTGGTCACCCTGCCTGTACTGCCTGATCGTACACCCGGGAAAACTGCCGATTTCAAATCCAGGTCATTTCGAAGGCATCCAATGATTACAGTCTGATGACTGAAACGGAGGATGAGGATCTCTGCAACACCCCCACAGTGCAGTCAGTGCAAACTCCTTACTCGCTTGTGTCCGAGGGAGAGAGCAGACTCAACCTCGTGCAAAATGGAGGAAATATTCCTGTGAGCAAGGACAGGGAAACATGTTCCATCAAACAACCGCACTCAGACTGTGATGTGTTCTACACACATAGAAATGTCAACCTGAAATTATGTGCTGAAGCCATTAGCCCATTTGAGTATTAAAATGCTACATGACATGCATGTCTGCAGCCAGTACTGTCTTTGAGTTCCTGATGAGGAGTAAGGGGAGTAGTGAGAATGTAGTACAGTAGGCAGCTGCATCAGCATGCGCAGTCTGCAAAGGAACAGGTGACAGGTTTATTCCATACAGAAAGCAAAAGAGAATGTTTCAGCCTCTTCAGGTGTGCCTCTTTTAACTTCCAGTAGTGAAAAAGAGCCCTGCTGGAAAACGGTGTCAATGAATAATGCCGCAGGGTGAGACGGTCAGCTGCCGGCCTGAACTAGTGGGAAATCACTGGTGTGGCCTGTGCCGCAGGTGAGCGGAACGTGTACTCTGCGCTCCCAGACTGTTAAACACGTGCGGGAACCTGTGGGGCAAATGAGCTGCACTGTGGGAGGATTGGAAACCAGTGACTTTCCCAGGTCAGCCGGGCGTCTGCCTCCACGCGCCGCTACTCACTAAAGCAGCAAACCAAGGGTCTGCATTTGGACACTGTCCTCAGACGGGTGGACTCGTCCACTGTACATTTCTACCGTGTTTCCAGTGTTAAAGCTACATTTATTATTCCCCTCTCAACTTAAAAAGCCCCGGTTTCACTTCTCCAGAAGAGCAAGAGCGTCTCGGCCTTCTTCAAAGCGCCCCCCGCCTCTGGGCCGGCCCCTCTGACCGCGAGGGGGATCGCTGACCGGTCCGGGCGCCGCGCGGTCAGTGCTGCTTGTCCTTCCTGGCCCGGTCGGGCCTGCGCCGCTGCGCGCCGGGCCGGTGGGGCACCAGCAGCACGCTGCCGTCGCTGTGGCACTGCAGGGCGTAGCGGCCGGGGCTGACGGGCCTGCCCTGCTCGTCCCGCAGGCGGCGGAACACGTCCCGGTACAGCTGGCCCAGCCGCTGCTTCAGGCAGCCCAGCGACTTGCTGTGCTGGGCCCGGTCGCGCAGCAGCCGGTCCCGGTGCCGCCGGAGCCGCTCCACCTCGCCCTCCAGCCCGGCGATGGCGTCCAGCTTGCGGCGCCGGCAGTTCTGCGCCGCCACCTTGTTCTTGCCCCGGCGCCGGATGTCCCGAATCAGCGCCACCTGGGCGTCGCTCAGCTGGAAGCCGGACAGCAGCTCCAGGAACTCCTCCACGGGCATGTTCACGATGTCCTGCACGGACAGCGGGAGGTCCAGCGCCCGGGCCCTCCTCTCGTCCCGGCTCAGCTCGTCCTCCTCGCCGCCTTCCTTCTTGACCGCCCCGAGGGGCCCGCGCCCCGCCTGCTGCCCCCGCGGGCCGGACCCGCGCTGGGGCGGCGGAGAAGAGTACGTGTGGTCGTGCAGGACGCCCTGGGCCAGCTGCGCAGGTGAGCGCCCCGTCCCCTGGGGGCGACGCTCTTTGAGGCTCCAGGAGGCCCCCGCGGCAGCGTCCCCGGACAGCGAGTCGGAGTCGGTGCTGTAGCCCACGGCCCCCTCGTCCTCGCAGTGGGACAGCGAGGACGCCTCGGAGGCGCTGGGGGAGCCGGGGCTGCGGAAGCTGGAGTCCAGGGACAGCCCGGAGTCTGAGTCCAGCTCGTCCAGGATCCGGCTGTCCAGGCCGCCCAGGCCGTCCAGGCCCAGACCCATCAAATTGATCTGCTCAAACACCGCCTCGTCGAGAAACCCGGACAGAGAGCTCAGGGCCGCCCCGTCTCTGCTGCTGTTCTCCACCAGCGGGAAGAGCTCCGCGGTCAGGTTGAGCGCCCCCAGCAGGGCGGGGTGTGTGGCGTGGGCCGGCTCCAGGGACCCCCCCGGCCCCGTCCAGCTGGCGCGGCCGTCTCGGTCTCCGGACAGCATGGCATCATGAAGACTGACGTTCCGGCTGATGGCATCAGGGATCTGCTGTGGGTCTTCGATTTCCATGTCCTGAAACCCCACAACAGAATGTTTATATAGAACGTGTTCGTGTCTGGTACAGACTCGGCTGTTTTTGCAAATCCTTTCACTAAAAAGTTGAACACATTAGCACGTGATCAATATTCTAATAGTACAATATATTGGATGTACAGATAGAAACAATACAGAAATAAAACAGTTAAAATGCAGACTAGGCCTGTATTTTAAATTAATTAACACTGCACTTGCACCTTAAGCAACAATTCTAAAACATTTTTAATGTTTTCTTTATAATACACTGAGCAATAAAAGAAACCACTATTTCTGCACGTATGTTATCAAAAACAATGTAGATTTTGTATATTGATGATTGATTATTCAGGACTGGCCACAATACAGTTAAGACTGGACGTTGAATAACCCCTAAGCTATTAGTTAGAGAGCAGACTGTTCACAGGTAATCAGGTGATCTAGCCTGGTGGAAAATAAAAAAACACAAACCCAGAGGAGCCAGTACGCTCTGCTTTTCAAGAGAACAGCAGCTTCATGCCCTCTGCAGGATAAATTATATCTGCACATCACTGCTCATCCTCCGGGTGCTGACAGGCAGTCACATCCCACACAGGAAAGGCTGCCCCTCATCGACAGAAGTTTTTGAATGGAACAATCTGAAAGGCCATGAGCCCAGGCCCCTCGCGAAGAGCAGACTGGACGCCGGGCTGCCCGCCCGCCCTAGTCTCCTGAACACAGACTGGACGCCAGGTGTGCTGCTCCAGCCTCCACAGAGCTTCGCCTGTATGACCGAGGGCAGCCTGGCTGCACAGCTACACTGCTCAGGTCCCGGGACTCACAGGCTGGCTGCCTGCAGGATCAACAGCCCAGCAGCACAACACAGGCTCAGGCTGCACCTGTGACAGCCGGGTTCATGAGGGAAGGTGGCAGCTACACCATGGAAACTGTACTCGCCCACTTCAACCCCAGTGAACATCTGTGGGACCAGCAGGGAGGGATAAACTGAGATATCTAGGACCAGATGTCCTAGACCAGCAAACAGACACTGGGGCACGAGTCCCACAGGACAGTATCCTACACCCGGTGCAAAGCAGGAGTCACATATATGGCCTGTATTGCTTCCTTGATTTCAATTGCAACAGTAGCCACACATTACCAGCCTGTGACTTTCACAGAAGACAGCCTATTGATCAGACTTCAGTCCACACAAGGAATTCACCCATTTCCTGCCTGTCCATAATATATCAGTGCACTTGCTAAGTGTAAAACAGCAGACAGATAATCAAGAAGTTTAAGGTTCATCAGGCTTGATGTTTTGTAATTAGTTTGTGTGGTTTTAAGGACTCTCCCTTATTTTCTCTAAGCATTCCCACTCTGTATTTTCTGTGAGAACTCATCACTCTGGTGGTAAAACAAAGCCGGTGTTCACACCTTCCTCATTTTGTTTTAAATGAGCAAGTACAGTATTCAAACTCTTGACTAATCATTCTAAGAATTTTATATTTGAATATTCTGACACATCCCTAATGCAGAACAATTAAGAGAATGCCATTTCCTTATTTTATACATGACTCACAGAAAAGCCAGATGTATCTATAGCTTCACTGGGCTGATTTCGGAATGTTTACACTGCTGTTCGACAGTCTCCCTCAGGAAGCTCCAGAGCTGGGTATCCCCGAGTAAATACTCCCAACGCCCCCAGCGTCCCGCCTGCCCAGTGTTCGTCCGCAGAGCCGTCTGGGCAGCAGGGATGGCTGAGACTCGGGACCGACCCGAGACACGACCCTGGACTCCCCACCTGTACCTTTCACACGGCGCAGTCCGCTTGGGTCCCTTAGTTACCAAGGACAGACTCAGGCACAGAATACAGGTAGTAACGGCGGCTTTCTTTCACACCCGTGTGAAACAAGGAAACCACTGGATCGGCTCCCTCGCTGTGGATGCGGATGCGTGTGGATCAGTGCGTGCGGACGCGCAGACTCACCTCCAGATTGGACAAGGACAGGAGCTCGCGCCAGGGGTGCTCCACGCCAGCCGCCAGCAGGGGTTGCTGTGCCAACGTCGAGAGGGAGGAGGCGCTGCTGAGCACGTTCTGAAACGCACAAGCACAGCACACAGGGCCACTGAAATCTGGAGTCTCACTCCCTTCATGAATGTATAGTTCTTCATAAACGTTCCACCTAACGTCTCCCTTTGGCTTTAGGGATTCCTGGAATATGTTACGAAACGGCTCTGCTCTTTTGAGAATTATTTTGTAAAGGGCAGCAACACGCCAGCAGATCCCGTTTGCTCTCTCTCAGCACATCAGCTCAAAGTAACTGGAAAGACTCATCTGAAAAACATCCTAACTGGGTCCCTTACATAACATCAAGCCCCATCTCCCCCCAGTTTACCATCCTGGAGCAAGAGAAGTGACAGCAGCAGTGGTTTGATAAGCACAACTCTCTAAAGGCCACCCCCGTCTTCTTGAGCCTTTATTTTGCTCTCGCAGTATTGTGCCGTCACAGCGAGTCTTGTGGGAGAATGAAGTGAAGGCGCAATGGGGACCGAACAGGGAGGAGAGTCCAAGCCCTCTTTTCTGTCTCCAAGGCAAGAACAGAGGTCTCTCTCCTCCCGGGTCTGGACGCTTCTCCTCTGTGCTTCACTGTGAAAGAGCCAGTGCCCTCAGAGGCAAGGCAGGACCCAGCCCTCCATCTTCCAAACGCCCTAGCTGAAAGAGCGGCTGAGGACAGATCAGGTGTCTGAGACGTCTCTTGGCGTCGGCCCTTCCCAAAAGGGAGGCAGAAGGTACACCAGCCTGCTGTACCTCTCTGTCCAGCGTGGAGCTGTGCGCCAGCGCCTCCTGTGGCGCCCCCTGGAGTTCAGGTGCAGCCGCGCGCTCCTCTGCCTCCCCCTCCTCTCCTGCCGCGGGCTCGGGGCTCTGGCCTGCATCCTGCCTCTGCAGCTCACCATCCTGGGGGAAGCCAGAGTCCAGCATGAAATTAGACTGCGATCAAACAACAAGGCGTTCAGCCACCACCTGTCTGGGGAAAACACAGACCTGCCTTCACAGACCAAGCAGTCAGATGGGATGACAGCAAAAGGACAAGTCAGATTGAGGCAATCCTACTAGGGGAGGAAACGCAGTAGAGCTGCAGCAAGCCTGTCTCTCAATAATAATAATAATACTAATAATAAAATACAGGGTGTGATCTGTCACAGCCTGAGGAACAGACAGTGAGCCTGTCACACAGTAATGTTTTATGTGTTGCTTCTATCTGTCCAACAGGTTTTGTACTGTGAATGTTGTGTTAATTGTATCTGCTGTGACCACACTGTAACTCACTGGTTGTGCCAATAAAGCCCTTTGAATTTCATGGCAGTAGGACCGATCCTTTCAGGGTTATTTTCTGCACCCTGAAAGCGTCTGTCGGACAGCTGTGCACTGTACGCACCAGAGTGTGCATGTGGGAGGGGTAATGACAAACGATGGCTTTCAAACCCCAAGGAGCAGCTGCAGGACCATGATCAATAAAGGAGGCATCTGGTTCTGTTCCTCTGCTCCTCCCTGACTGAGGGCTGTGCTCCTAGCTGTTCCTCTGGTTTCTACAGCACAGCCCATCGATCACCCCACATGACTGATCACCTGAGTCAGCACCGTTCGCAGAATCCCACAGACACAAACAACCGCTATTACTGCCCCAGAGACCACAGGCACAAGGAATCGATTCCAGCCAAGCGCAGCAGGAACAGCACACGAGCCCTTCCTGAGGCCTGGGAACGGGCTTCATGCTGCAGGTACCTGGTGTCAAGAATGGGTCAGCACCACGAAATCACTCATCCTGTCACATGTAACAGATCTGACTGTTGTGCACACGGTAAGACCGGACTAGCTGCACTTTCAAAAACCCTCAACACTGCCGGCCCCAAACTAGAAAGGGAGTCATGTCCACAGAAAGGTGTGGCAGGGAGTCAAAAAGGGGGAGACCTTTGATGAGCTGCCAGGAATGGGGTGTCACACAGGCCTATTCCAGACATACTCCCAGTTTTCCCAAAGGCAAACACAAAGAGAAATATTTAGAAAACGCAAAACAGACAAAGTTAAAACTGGTGGGTAGCTGCATCAGCATGAGTAGGCTGCAAAGGAACAGGTAATAGATTTATTCCAGGCTGAAAAGAGAAGAAAGAAAACAACGTTTCAGCCGTGGAACCTTCTTCAGGTGTCATGTTGTGTTTTCTTTCTTCTCTTTTCAGCATGGAATAAAGTTAAAAATTGACTTTCTGTGCCTGATTTCATATGGAATGACCCAGAATCTCTCAGCTCACTGAGTCTGGAATCCGAGCAGAGACCCCATTCTGACAACCAGGCTGAAAGAGACACCATCCAGCAGACTCTTCCCACTCTCCTGTGCAAAGATCAAGATAACAGTTCTCCAGCAGACTTGAATCATCAGTCTAATAATGAGAGTTGCCTTGAAGTTCATTTACTCGTTTTAAAAACCAATGAAAAACACAAGCCAAGCTCAGATGAAAGCACAGCTCCAATGTGCAGATAGCTGTCCTGCGTGGTGCCAGTATTGAGACAACACAGCACAGCACAGCAGCCTGAACTATATTTAATTCAGACTTTAATTATACAGAGATCCACAGAAACTGAGATCTTCCAGGAGAGAATACGTGAACTGCATTAGTTTATTCCTCCTGTGCATGGAAACAGACTGTCAGTAATTATTTCTTTGTATTTAACATTCTTCCTCACAAGGCTTGTAGTCACCCAGGTTCCAAACAGACAATAATATGGCTTGTCCTGACAGTTCTATTGCAGAGCCATTTCTGTCAGGATGTGCCTGATGAACAGGAGTACTGTAACCTCTACAGTCACACACTCCGACTGGTTTGGGAGTCAGGCTGAGAGCGTGCTGCTCTGTCCCTGTCCTGTCAGCAGGAGGCCTGACTTCAGCCCAGATAGCAGTGCAGTGAAAGTCGGGGCCCAAAGTTCTGCTTTACTCTCTGCTTCTTGTTAAGCAATAATTAGTCACAGCCAATTCCTGTACCCAAAGACAGGAAACCAGACACATTCACTAAAGCAGGACAAAAACAGATTCTCTCAACGGTTATGTAATGTTCATTCTTTGTGGTTGCATAAAAAAAGCCTCAAATTGTAGCTGTTAAAGTTTCATTTAATGTACTCTGTAAAAGGACAAAGGACCCAAAAACGAGTCCCTGTTCTCAGCAGTCAGGGACTAAGAAAAAGGCACACAACACACAAGCTCACCAGTTACCAAAGCTGCTCATATGGAGGCTGTATGTTTCACTACTCTCCTGAACACAGACTGGACACCAGGCTGCCTGCCTGCCCTACTCTCCTGAACACATACTGGACACCAGGCTGCCAGCCTGCCCTACTCTCCTGAACACAGACTGGACACCAGGCTGCCAGCCTGCCCT